AAACTGCTCTTTTTCACTACACTGAAATTTTCTATATTCTGTGTCTGTATTCCATTCAGGAATGAAGAGAAGGCAGCCATGCCTTGCAATGTAGGGACTATGAAGGAAATCTGGTACTTCCTTCTCTTTCCTGTATTATATACAAAGTTCACTGTCTCACTAATGGTCTCTGGTATTAAGCTGTGGACACAGTGGAAGCTACAGTATCTCAGTGACTTGTTAGTGGCTTTGTGGGATTGTCTTGTATTCAAACTCCATTTCCACAACATGCTTCTGCAGACTACCGGCATGAAAAAAAATTAAAGGCTTCAGAGTATTCAATTGAAATAACACCCTAACTGCCTATTAAAAGAGTTGTGGTTAATTTTTTTAAAAACAAAATCCCCTCTCCAATTAACAACAGAATACTGGCTTTCACAGCAAAGGTATGTGGCTTACGACTGAGGAATTTGGCATTGGGCAGGAGGAATTTAGGGAATTGATTGTAGCTTGATCATTCAAATGGCAAAACAGTGAGAAACTGCTATGCTGGCCTGCTCTTGTGCTCACTGAAAATCCTCCTTCTTTTACGAACAAAAGGTACAGGAATGGAGTAGCTCAGCTAGAAGCGTGGAAGGGAAAAGTTGATGGCATGGCAAAAGAGATGTGGTAGAGGTGTCTGTCCTACCTGAATGTTTAAGTGCAGAGCAGTTGTTACACCACAGAGTTTCTGTGCTGCCATTATAGCTAACACAGTTCTTATTTTCTGGTGAGCCACAGTCTGTGCACTGATCCTGTGCTTTAAACTCAGTGTAGATGATTCAGAGTGCTGAAGTCTGTTATGGCTGTTACATGGTATGATACACGCCCAGCCAAGTATTCACCCCTTCTATGACCAGCACCCAGTCACAGAGTGATGCTCCTATTGTGTGGTGCATGTGTGGATTTGGGGGTGCTTTTCTGGTAAAGTTGTGCTGACAGCCTTGATTCTCTACTATAGAGAAATGGCTGGATGCAGGAAGGATTATCCAAGTTAGTTTCTATGGAAACTCAAGACATTTTTGTATTCAAGAGCTCGTGGCTGTCAGTTACATCCCTACAAAGAGGTGTTTTACGCAGATAGTGATATTTTCTTGTGCATCAGCTGTGCCCAAAATAAACCAGAGCTTGCTGGTGTCGGGTATCCAAATCTGTTTAGCTTACTGCCATATGGACAGGTGGCTCAAGCTTGGTGGGGGTCCCATGCTTTCTTAAAATCGTGGAATAATTTAGGCTGGAAAGAAACTTGGGAGGTCTCTAGTTCAATCTGTGCTCAAAACAGGGAAACCTTCAAAAGCAGGTCAGGATGATGAGAGCCTTGTCTAGTCAAGTGCAAACTGGGTGCCTGCCAACGATCAGAAAACCGATTGTTTAACCACAAGATTTGTTTTCTTCTTTACCCGTCTGATTTTTTCCCTCCTATTTGTGACACTTGCCTCTCACTCTTGGCACTATGCAGCACAAAGGAGAGTTTGGCTCTGTTTTCCTGTACCCATTAGCTTAAAAAATGGCAACTGGCTCTGCCCTTATCCTTTTCTTCCCTATACTGAACAAACCCAGTGTTCTTGCCTTGCATGTGCTTGTATCTTCTTGTCTGTGCTCCTGCCCCCTGTGGTTCCTCCACTGAACCCTCAGGTTTTTCTTTCAGTACAGAGCTCAAAGCCGGGCATGGTGTATTCAAATTTTCTGGGCTTACAAGTGCTGAATAGAGTGGGAAATAATAATTTCACATGACTTGCTGGCTGCACTCTTGCTAACACAGCCCAGTGTGAAGCTGGGCCCTGTTGGAGGAGCCATATTCAACTTGCTGCTCTTCAGGATCCCCAGGCTCTCTTCTTTCAAAGCTGACTTCTAGCCAGGCTCATCTCCAGTATATGGAGTTACTCTGATGCAGGTGCATGACTTTGCTTTTAATATTGAAATTTATGCAGTTCCTCTTGGTCCACTCTCAAAGTTTGCTGATGCCCCTCAGTTGCAGCTCTGTCCTCTTTCTTGCAGGCCATATTTATCATAGTTTTTTCCTGACAGAGAACAACCAGTGTGTTGTGCTGGTTGTGATCCAAATACATTAGGCCCTTAAAGGTCTTAGGAGGAAATTTAATACCTCTGCCCCAAGGGTTCCCACATTTTCATTTCTCCCTAGGGAGTAACAAGGGTTAGGATCTAAACCAGGCTTCAGCTGAAAGCCTGACAAGATAATATGCAAGATTAGAGCAAAATGCTGGTTATGCTGAGTCTGAGGGGTTGCAGATGCAAAGAGGCAGAACCTGGCTGTGTACCACATTTTAACAGGGCAGGGGTCACACAAACAAACAGATCAACTAGGCAGGGAGTGTGCAGAAAGGGAAGGCAGCTGGGTGCCTGCCAAAACAGCTCAGAAAACAAATGTGATGCCACAAACAGTGTAAGATGAAGAGCAAAACTATTGTTTGTTCTAACTGGAGTGCAAATACTGGAATAATTCATCAACTATGTGATAATTTGTAATGGGTACTTATGAGACTGTTTGGTACATAGAAAACAATTGAGTTCACAATTATGTGCAGACAAGACTTTAGCCAGTTTCATGCTTTTTGAAGAAAAAGGGAAGAGAAGGGGGTGAAGGAAAGGCAGAAGCTTTGCTCAGCACTGCTTCTTTCAGAATTGTCCCTCTCTATGCACTCACAACGCTGCAAAAATAGATATTCTTTCTGAAATATTGCACTCTAGGAACCTTCTACAAATACAAGAAACAACCCAAACAACTCCTTTTGACCAAGATCCCCTGAAAAGGAAAGAAACGAGGATATCTGGTAGTACATCATATCTCAGCATTGCTTTTGAACACTCCAATGATGACACATTTCCTCTGGTCTGTGCCCACCATCTTCCTTTCCATCACTAATGGAGATATGCAATCACACACTCTGGGCTGGGTTTCTGAGCCATTTTCAGTTTCCAGCATTAGTAGTATAGTTGGAGTGTGGGAGGAACCCAAAAGGCGTGGCTTAGCAAACAGCTTCTGTGAACTGCGCTGACTCACAACTTTTGGCATTCGCTCCTTTCAGAAAACACCTGAGGTTTTTTTGGTTTTTTTTTACCCCCAAGTTATTTCTAAGACATATCAGGAATGAAACATCTCATATTTAATATGTATATGGCAAAACAATCATGAAACATATCTATATTTAAATACATGGATATTTAAAATTATTTTCCCCTAGCATAACCTGAAGAGTGTGAGCTTTTTAAGCTGAATGTTTTGCCTTATCCATAACAAGTCTGCAACTTACCCAAATTCATAGAGTTGTAATGTTTTCTGTTGTGCATTTTGGGAGGTGGCCTTTGGCCTAAGTGCTATCAAGGATTGCCATAAGGAAAACAAAAATAAAATACAGTGCTAAAATGCTTTCTTTTATGGCTTCAGCATCATTTGAAGAGTTTGTCTTTTACTACTTTTTTTTCTTGTTTTTCCTGTTCCTAATCTTGAAACAAGATTTATTTTGTCATTCAAATCTTTCAACAGTCGTGTTCTGTTTTGGATGGAGCAGCTGTTTGTCTTTGAAGGAAGGATTTTTACCCAACAATATTTAGACAATGTGTACCTATTTACCCTAAAAACAACTGGCCTACCAATAAAGTTTCATTTTTTTTCCAGATGCAGGAGATAGTGTTTAGTCCTATGTTCAGATAGAGCTGGGAAATCTCAGGACTATGTTCTTCTGACAGAATTGTTTTAATTATCCCAAGAATTCTTAGAAAGCCCCTCAGAAATCCTGAAGTCTTTTCCATAATAAGAACAACACTTTTTTTTTTTTTAAATGAGGCTTCTATAGGATTAAACTCTTTAAGTAACAGCTACGTCAAAACTGACAGTTTATAAGTTAGTCAATGCTACATGTTCAATGAATTCTGAGAGACTCAGCTAGCTGGCAAGGTTTGAACCTTGTTTGTCTGCTTAAATCAACCATGACTCTTCGGTATTCTAAAACACAAGGAGAAAGAAAGTAGTTACAAGTACAACAATTAAGAGACCTGGAAGAGAGCAAAGGCCTCTCCCAGTATGTTCCAGCTCTGATTTCTCTATCAAACATGAATTTGTTCACGTTCTTCACCACATTAATGCTGGGATCTGTGAGATTCTGCCCCGTAACTTTGACATTTCCCCATCAGGGACAGCTGGGGTTGCACATCACTGGAAGGGGCAGCCTGGCTCTACACCGACCCTGTGACGAGGGGGCGAAAGCCCGCTGGAACGCAGTTATGCTCTTACTTTCTATTCCCGGGTTGCAAACGCCTCTGAGGGTTCCGAGCCCTGCTGTGGCCCCACCTGCTCACCCCCCGCAGGTGAGGCAGCCCGGGCTAAAGCCCCGCACAGGTACGCGGGGCCCGACCTCGACCTGCCGGCTCCTCGGGGGCTCGGTGCGGGCGGCAGGACCACGGCCAGGGCTGCCGCGCCCGGCGGGACGGGGGTGCTCGCCCGGCCCCGCCGCCCCGGCCGTTGCCCCCGCACCCCTCCCGTTACCCCCCGGGCACCCCCGCGGCGAGCGGGGCCGGGACAGGCTCCGGGGGGCTCGCTCGGCCCCCCCGGGGAACGCCCAGGGGAGCCCTGCCCGGGGTCCCGCTCGCCCCGCAGAACCTACCGAGAGCGGCGGCGGCGCCTCCGCCGTCATCGGCCACCCGGAACCCGCCGGCCGAGGGAGGGGCGGCGGCGGCCGGAACCGGGGCGGGCGGCGGGGGCGGCCCCCGGCGGCACTCGTGGTGTGCTGCGGGGCGGGGCGGTGCCGCGGCCGTGCCCGGGGGGCGCCGGGCCGGTGTCCCGGGTGCCGCGGCCAGACCGGGCACTGCGGCGGCCGCGACCCTGGGGGCCGGGCTCGGCCGTGCCCTCGGGCCGGACTACATCTCCCAGCGAGCCCCGCGCCGGCTCTCGCGAGAGGCGGCCGGGCTCGCGCCGGGACTTCGTTTCCCTGGGGCCGGCGGCGCGCCGGAAGTGGCCGCGCGGCGCTTCCGCGGTGGCCGGAGCTGAGCGGGGCGGGGGGGAGCGCTCTGTGCCGGCCCTCGGTGCCGGCCCTCGGGGCCCGCCGCAGCGATGGACGTGACCGGGCCCGAGACCGACTGGCGCAGCACCAACTTCCGGCAGAAGCTCGTCAGCCAGATGTGAGTGCGCCCGCGCGCGGGCCTCGGCCTCGGCCCGAGGGGCTCCCACCCCCCCCTCCCTCCGCGGCCGTGTCCTGCCTGTCTGCGCTGCTCTGCCGGGCCTCTCCGGCCTTCCCCGAGCTACCTGCGTTCGTACCCGCTCCCCGGTGTTTCCTCTCCCCCGGGCCGGTAACAGGATTTGCTCAGACTGGTTTTTTACTTTATTTCTCCCATCCTCCTTCCGTTGCACTTTGCTCTTCCCCAGAAGCACCGGCTCCTGGTTCTGCTTGACAGCATCTGCTTTAGGGCCTCGGCTTTGGGGGAGTCCGTGGTGGTGTGAAATTTGACATATTCAGTCCTATGGAAAAGCCTTTTATGGGCTTACTTCTGACTTTTTAGGGCAAATGTGAGATAAAAAGTTCAACTTGTTGCCCATTCAGCTGTGAAACAATTGCTTTACTTGAATTACTGCTCTGCAGACTTTCCTTATTTTATGGAAGACTCTTCTGCCCTGTGCAGGGTGGTTGTTACAGAAGGGAAAGCAGTGTTCATGGCTCCTAAAGTAATGCTGAAGTCCGAATTTATGTAGGTTTGGAAAACTTGACCTTAATTTATTGATTATAAGGATCAATATCTAAAAATGGGCAGTCTTTTTTCTAAGATGTATAAGCAGTTGGCTCTTTGACTGCCTTTGGTTTTACTTCACTGAAGGTGCTGTTCCAGAATGAAACTGTTACAGTATTCATTAAAGAAGTAACAATGATGTGCATCTGTCAAAGCCATGCAAACTTTCTTGGTGCTCAGAGCTGATGTTTCACTTTCCATACTTTCTGTAAAGTCATTAATCTTAGGTTGATCCCTTGCTGCTTCTCCTCCTCCTGCTGCTTCATCAAAACAAGCAAAAATGGTGCCCTTGAATGGTTTGTAGCTTTGAGGAAATAAAGACAATAAATTAAATGTGTTACTGTTCACATAACTCCTTATGAGTGCCTTGTCGTAGCTGCTGGGTACAGAACTCTTAATCTGTTGCATTTTCACACTTGGGTTTCCTTTACAACAGTGGATTTAAGTTTTTTGGGGTTTTGGTTTGTTGTTCTCTTAAAGTGTGATATGTGAGTGAACATTTCAGTGGCGCTGTGGGGAATTAGTGTCCTATATCAGTGGTCAGTGTGTAGGATTGGGTTATATATGTATATAAAATAAATTATATATATGTTATTTATATATATTAATCGATGACCTAAGAACCTTCTCAGTACTGGGCTTTGTGTGGCTGCGGCTCAAGCAGGACTTCCAAGATCAAGGAAAGCCTGAGCCCAGGTGACTGGGGCCGAGGAGCAGCTTTGGTTTCTCCCAGGATGCTCCAGGAAACAGCAGTGGTGTAGGGGTGTGGATATACCCTTCTGCTGGCAGGGTACCCCTTTATCCTGGCTCTTACACAGAGCTGGTACGTGCTGATGCCATGGGAGTCTCCTTCCTAAAGGCCTTTCCTCAATGTGTTTTTGAGTGTTGGTGTTGCCTGAAGGACAGAGCTGATCTGGGTCGTGCTGTGGTAAACCCAGTTCATGGCTGGGTACAATTCGTGCCCCAAGCTGCTTCCAGGCTGTGTTAGGAGGGGATTGTGTTGAGTGTAGAAAAGGGATGTAACTCAGGCTGTGGGATGTTCCATTAATTTCATGTTTGTTTTTTTGCTTGAAATTTTCATAGGAATCTTCTCACTTTAGTTAATAGCTCAGCTGGGTGAAAAGAAAGAATGTGTGGGCAGAAATAGAGATGAGAATGTGGAGAGCTCATGAAGGGAGGAGACTGAGGAACAGGCAGGCAGGAAGAGTGGAACAGCTGAAGTTTCTTGAATGATGAAAGGAAAAATAAGAAAAGGAAGATCATCTGCATTTGCTTTTCTTCATGAAACACTTCACAAAACAGGTTCATAAAGCAGCCTAAATTTTGTATTCCAGCCTAGGTTGTCTGATGAGAATTCGGGCAAAAATGTCCAAGAGGGCAGATGTTTCTCCCTTCCTGGAAGTGTAGAGGAAGTGAGGGATTAGTTATTTAGAAGTGCTTATTTTGACACAACTGTGAACTGAAGAAGCCACTGCAATACGTCTTCATTTCAAGTGTTTGGGTTGCCATGCAGTGAACCTGATAGTGAAATTTCTCAAAAATAACTAAGGAAAAGTGGTTATTTTTAACCTTGCTTGTTCTTCAGTACTGCTGATGGCAAAGCCACGTAGACAGTTGTACCAGCATGACTTGGCAGGGGAGGCTTCTTACCTTCTTGCCTCTGCCAGAGGGAATCCCTTCTCTTGGAGGATATGCTTGTGAAGCTGTGAAGGGAGGATTCTGTGTGTAGTGGGAAGGGTTTTTTTGTCTCTGCAGAACTGGAGGGAAGGTAATGCTAAAACAAGGCTTTAGGGAGGCTGAATGGTCCTTTGCATTCCTTGTGCAGCTGAAGGAGTTGTGCTGGGGACCTGGGACCTTCAGGCCTCTGCATGTTCTGTCAAGCAGCTGTGAATAAAGTAGTGTGAGTGATTCCTGCTTTGGGCCTTGTGCTGGGGTGTGTTACAGGGTATTCCTGCAGCGAGGGCTGCTGGTGATGAAATTTGTTATGCCCAATCTGTAACAAACAGAAATGTTGTGTGGGACAGTTATCTGCACAAGAGCAAGTGAATAAAGTTTAATGTAGTTGTTGGTGTTTACTTTGAGATTTTTAAACCTTGTAATGTGGGTGCATGAGGCTGACAGCTTACCAGCACACTCCCCCCTGCCCACCCATTGCTGTTTTAAGCAAGAAAGGTTGTTAGCTGAGTGTCACAGTGATCAAATATTCTATTTCACAAAGATGTGGTGATTTTTACATGTCTTAATGTGGTGTTGGCCCTGGAACTCACTGCCCTCGTGTTTCATTGAAACAACTGATTCATGCAGTCGTGGTGTGAGCTGGGGAGGGAGCTGCTGTAGGTTTGAAGGAGAACGTGTTTTGCAAGATCTTTCAGCTAGACCAGTTGGCCTTAGTGAGAGGTTGCACATATTTGGGCTGGAAACAAGTTCTTGGGAATGGAAGGGGAATTCCTGAAGCTGGTGTTGGTGTTGAATGCTTCATCTTTTGAAACCACAACTTTTGAGTGTTGTGCATGAAATCAGAAAGGCAGACTTTTTGGGCACATATAATTATGCATTTACTAAGTGCTTATGATGCAGATGAAGGTTGGATTGTCTGGTACCATCTAGTTTTCAGAGTTTTGTTGAGTTCAATGTTCTTCCAGGATACCATATGTTATTTGGTATCCTTAACTCTGGGCTAAAGCTATGACTTTTAAAGTGACTTTCCTAGTCTTTTAATGTAAATATTTTTATGTTGATTGCAGTTGGATGTGTAAACAGGGAAGGACTTGTGTGGTTTTTTTCTTCCTCCCAGTCTAAACCTTCTTTGGAATGCTAACAGATAGAATATGGAGAGCTCGGAGTGGCATTTTTGGTAATGCAGATGTAGTTGTAATAACATGTCTTTCATGTTCCATAGCTTCAAAAGGAGAAGGTAGATATATGTAAAAGTAGATAATTTCTCCCCCTCCCTCCAAGTTCCTGGTACCAAGTTCCACACTGATCACTGTCAGTAGCACACCCACTAAGTACCTACCTGACTTTCTTTACTTGCCTCTACACAATCTTTGTCTTCTCTTTTTGCCAACTCAGTTTTCAGTGCTCTCAGCATGAAAGGCATTGCCATTTTACTGGGACTGGGAAGTTAAGGAGGAGTTAACTCTTCAGAGAGTAGTATGGATTTAGAGGCAGCCTTTCCAAAAGGGAAAGCATTAAAAAAGGGGTTGTCAATAAAGAATTGGATGTAGCCTCTTCTTTCACAGCAGAGCTCCTTCAGGAGCAGTTCACTTTAAGACTTGTTTGTCCATGGAGGAATGGTTATTCTGCATTATGTTCAGATTCAGCTTCAGTTTAAGTAACTTCATATATAAGCAGCATTTTTTTAGTGTCTGCCAGACCAAACCAGTAGGTTACCATGAGAGCCCTACAGCAGGTATGATGTTCCACTGTGTTCTACTTTGCAGGCTGCAGCAGGTCAGCTGTCTGCCACTGGTTTCTGAGGAAAGGGAATGAGTTGTGGCAGGCTAAGCTCCTGCATTTTAAGGCTGTAGCATCTGCTCTTCTGGGGCTGTTACTCAGTTAATTCAGGAAGCTGACCCAGCTTACTGCTTGTGCAAGCAGCGTTCCTGCTGCATGGGAGCTGGTAGAAATTTGGGGGAAATTGTTCCCCAAATTTGGAATACATTAATCTTATCATTCAGCTTTCCTCAAATGAACAAGTCCTGGTATTTTGTCAAGGTGGTAAAATAATGACTTGCCTTGCAGTTGTTCTTGAATTTCTACAAAGAATATTTATGTTGGCTTTGTTCTCCATCATTTGAAGAAACTTCAAAGGGTGGTGATTTTAAGTATTTTATGTGGTGTTGTTTTGGGGTTCTGTTTGTTTGTTTTATATCTATAAATGAGAGAGGGGCAAAAATCTGTTTTACAGACCTTTCTAACTACAGAAAGTATTTACTGATGTCCTCAATTAATACCCAGCCTTGTTTTTTCCTCTTTTTTTCAGTGATGAAGCTATGAGGAAAGCTGGTGTTGCCCATAATAAATCCAGCAAAGATATGGAGAGTCATGTGTTTATGAAGGCCAAAACAAGGGTAAAGCATCTCTGTTTGTTTCCAGAAGTCATTGCATGTCCAAAGAAGTTTGGAGCGAATTGCAGAAACAGCAAAACCGGTGCACTTAGTTAACTGTCTCTGCTTACAGTACAGAGTTATGTGAAATTTTGGTTTATATGTACTTCTTTTACCCTGAGGGAAGTGAGGTGTTCTGCATCCAAATATGCATCAAACTGGACTTACTGCAAGACAGCTTCGCTGATGCTGCAGCATTTAATGCACATATGGAATCACAGTTTTCTTACCTGAATGTTTGTATGTAGTGAATTGCATAGAGTTTCATTTATCTGCAGTGTAACACCATTCCATGTGACCAGGTGGAGGTCAGAAAAACCTGGGCTATCAATGAAAAGGCTCTGCCAAGAGTAACACCAAGGGAAGTGCTGTGGTCTCTGAGAAAGTCTGGCTATAATGTACAATTCTACACTCTGCCAAAATATAAACTTCTTCCCTGGAGCTGTGTTAGGAGGAATTGGATACTGTTGCTGTCTCCAAACAAGCCACATTTGCGATAGAGCTTGTCTTGGTGAAAATTTTATAATGCTGATGTCACAGATCTGTGCCTGTGGCTGGCATCCTCACTGGTGGGTTGGTAGTTTCATGGGCAGGAAGGCTGTCTCAGCCCTCTGCAGTTTCTCACATGTTACGAGGAACAGTAATTAAATGCTGCAAAGAATGTTTATCTTTTCACTTCTGACATTTCTATCATGTTGGTCTTCAAAGTTATTATTTTACTTGTATTTGTAATATGTACTTAGCTTAAAAAAAGGTAGTATGAATGTGACATAATTCAAGGACTAAAATAAGCCAGTGCACGAAGTAAATCAAGGTTTAATCCTTATGAAAAGGACTTACAGTGGATAAGAACTGGAAAATGGATGTATTGGTTTATAAAGTTCACATATTGTGATCCTGTTAGTGTGCCTGTCAGAGAGGTTCTTTCCTGTGAATTTTGTGGTTTCTTGGCCTTCTTGTACCATCAACTGCAATGACCTATTAGTAAAAATATTCTGACTTAATAAACAGACTGTTTCTTGGAATTGAACTGCTCTGAAAAGCCCTCAGACACTGCAAAGTCAAGTCTGGTATGTTAAGGAAGAATACTTAAGAAAGAGAAAGTAATGGTTGCTCTGTTTTTATTTCTTATGCTGAAATATTCATTTTTCACCTTTAGGAGGAATATCTTTCTCTTGTGGCCAGACTTATTATCCATTTTCGAGACATCCGTAAGTGATTTTTTATTTTTGGCTTGTTTTTTTCTTAGTCGTGGAGTTGCTCATCACATCCTCCAAAAAAAAAAAAAAAAAGTAAATGTTAGGGTTTCTGCATGTGACTCTTCACAAGTTGCTTTAAAAGTCTTTCTGTAATATGCATGCCTAATTTCTAAATACTATTTCTTTTACACATCTTCTATAATTGAAAAGTGTTTGAGAAATTATTTAAACTGCTATTTAGACTAGTTTTCTTCCTTCCTAATTTTTTTATCCTTCTTTCCATTATTTATGTAGCATTCTGGTTACCAAATTGGCTTAATGAATTTTATTAGAACTACAGTAGATAGAGATTTTTTTATTTTTTAAATTATGTGAATATATTTCTTGTAGAGAGTGTATCTAAAGGGCCCAATTTGTGTGTGACAAGATTTGTAAAGATGATTAATTGTTTTTTCTTTGCAGACAACAAGAAATCTCAAGCCTCAGTCAGTGGTAAGAGTTCATTTTTGTTGTTATTTTCTTCCTTCCCCCTGTGCTCCCCATTTTTAAGTAGAGCAGTTTAAAAATCAGGGCTGTGGATACTAAGAAAAAGGCATCTGTGTGTTCCCTAGCTGGAATATTACATGCTGCTGGAGGAAGAGGGGGTGCTGTGTTCTGTACCTGATTAATGCTGCTTCTGCAGCCTGTGTTCTGCTTTGCCCTCTTAAATTGCCATTCCCTCTTTGACTTAACTTTTCTGTGTGCCCAGTATTCAGTTTATGAAAACTGTCTTAAAAGGCATTGAATTTATCCACTGCATTATAAAAATGATGTTAGAGAGGGAACTACATAGCAAAATACTTCCTCTGGTCTGAGCATTGATTCTCCATTTGACTTCAGGAAGAAGAGGATCCACGGCGGGATCCTCTTGGTGTTCGAGTTTATAAGCTGTGTATCCTCATGGACTATTGTTGGCAGCTTGTTTTGACTTGTGTGTAAATGTGGAGGTGGCTAATAAGTTCCTTTTCTCTAATGTATTTAGAATCCATGTGGGACTTTGGAACTCTGAAACACTTTGAATCATCTCCACTCTACATACAGAGAGTCAAAGATGTGCCAGAAGCCTCTTGTCTCACAGGCAGAGCAGTAAATCTTATTTTCCCGGGGTATTGGATCTAGTCGTAGTCTGAGCCCAACAGATCAGAGAGTGGAGGATGGGGAACAGAGGAGTTGGGGCAGACAATTGCATGGCTGGCTGCATATTGGTAACTGTTTTCTTTGTAGATCCCATGAACGCCCTGCAGAATCTAACTGGGGGTCCCACAGCAGGGGCGCCGGGGATGGGCATGGCTTCCCGAGCTCAAGGAGCTCCCATGAGTGGGATGAGTGGCCTTGGTCCAATGGGACAACAGATGAGTCTCCCAGGGCAGCAGCAGCCTCCTGGAACCTCGGGAATGGCCCCTCATGGTATGCCTGGTGTCTCTACAACTACTCAGCAGAGTAAGTATTCGGTTTGCTTCAACCGCTGAAATTGTTATGTCAACTTTTCAGTAATAACTCTTTTCCCCAAAGAAAAGGTGCTGAAGAGATGTCATACTTCTAGCTAAATCAGCCAGGAAGAATTGATTTTTAAGTACTGCTACCTAATGGGATGCCTTCCTCAGTATAGTGAGGAACAGTCTACCTGTCGTATGAGCAAATTCTTCAATTGTCAACTTTAGAATGTTGTTTCTGTAGAGCTCACGTAAGTTTTCTGTAGTACAGTGCTTCTGCTGGTGACCTCAGTGCACATTTCCTCCTGCACATTTTTATTCTCTTTACCTAGGTTGCTGACTCAGCGTGTGCGAATTCGAAGTTAGTAGTAGAAAGTATCATTCATTTTGCTATTAATGTGCCTCATCCATTCGAGGAAGCAAAAGTATATGCTGCTAATGAAGGATGTTAATCTCGCGCTGTTTGGGTCTCATGTTTTCAGTACAGTCTATTTTCTTTTCAGACCAACTTCAGCTCCAGCAGATTGCCCAGCAGCAACAGCAGCAGCAGCAGCAGCAGTTCCAGCAGCAGCAGGTGGCTTTGCAGCAGCAGCAGTTCCAGGCCCAGCAGTCAGCCATGCAGCAGCAGTTCCAGGTCCAGCAGCAGCAGGCAGCGGCTGCTGCAGTGGCGCAGCAGCAGCAGCAGCAGTTGCAAGCTGTCCAGCAGCAGCAGCAGCACATGCTGAAACTGCAGATGCAGCAGCAGCAAAACCAACAGCAGGTGATGACAAACAGCTACAGTGTCAAATGAGGTGGTCTGTGATGGGCTACTTGTCAAGTGAAGCTCAGCCTGTGTGGAAGTAGAGTATCAGCTCTGCCTGGTACCAGCGCTTTTTCACTTTAGGGTAGGGCTTCAGGTTGGCAAGATAATTGACAATGATGTATTGCATCCTGGAGGAAAGACTTAGAGATGTTTCATTGCTTTCTTCTGTCACAGCAATAGAGAATTGAAATCTTTGTCTCTTTCTTCTATAAATGTCGGGATTGTCTTTCATTCTGACAAGAATAGGTGTGTGGGAAAGAACAGTACTTGAATTACTGTAGCAGTAGTGGCTGTTTTGTTACTGTGTGAATAACATGTTGCCACTTTAAAAAATATGTGCCATGCACAACATATATATATATATATCTACACACACACAGGCACTATATGTATATATATAAGGCAAAAACGCAACCAAGGAAACTTCAGCTGTCATATTCTTGTGCAATTTTTGGTAAAGGGTGGTTACATTTGAAGAAGTGTGTCTGAGCCCATTTGTGCAGGAGAACCTGATGCACTTCACCTTTGCTCTTGAAAATTGTTTTAGTAGCAAGGAAAGCTTGTAATGTCAAAACTGTGAGATGCAGCACTATGTAGGGTTGAGACATGAAGAGTGAGTGGATAAAAAGGTTGGGCTTTCTCTTTGGGCTTAAACCATCAGCCTGATGTATTAGGATTCTGTTTGCTCTTGGTTTATGCTATAAAAACAAGCTTGCTGTCGCATTGCTGGAAGCTTTAGCATCCTGGCTTCTCCTGCTTTTCAGATGCAGCAGCAACAGCAGCAGCAACAACTACAGCGGATTGCCCAAATGCAGCAGCTGCAGGCACAGGCTATGCAGGCACAGCAGCAGCAGCAACAGCAGCAGCAGCAGCAACAAATACCACAACAACAGATACAGCAGCAGCCACCTCAACAAGTCATGCAACAGCAGATGCAACAGATGCAGCAGCAGCAACAACAGCAGCAACAGCAGCAGCAGCAACAACAACAGGTTGCTCAGGCACAACAGTCTCAACTTCCACCACAATCCCAGCCTCAGCCCCAGCCCATGGTGTCTCAGCCACAGGCAATCTCGGGACAAATTCCCGGTCAGGTTATGCCTGTTACTCTTACGCCACAGCAGTTAAAAGCCATGCAGGTAAGGGCTGGTGACCAGCTGATATTGTTGGTTAGTCAATCTAATTGAAACAGAAGGGTCATACCCTGATCATGCATGTACGTTTACTTTGTTTTTCCTTTTCATACTCAAGGTAAGAGCTCAGCTGGTGCAGCAGCAGCAGCAGGCAGCAGCAGCAGTGCAAGCAGCTCAGGCCCAGGCTGCTCAGATGGGAGCTTCAGGGCAGGTAAGGGCTCAGGAGCCACTGCCACTGGGCACAGGCCTGTAGCAAGTGCATGCTAGAGATGAGCATGGAGATGGGTTTCTGGTGGTTTTCTGATGAGGGGTCTGACGTTGGTCGTTCCCTCTTATAAAGGGGATATGGTCTTCTCTGCTGTTTCTCCTTTGCCTGGAGTCAGAGGCAGGATTTCATTGACAACCTCTGTGCATGCTCTCTGTCCCAAGTAGGTACAGTTGTTGCCTGTACTGACACAGGAATGCACATGAGTAAGAAGGCCTCCTGTGGGCACACTACAAGTCTGACTGTTGGTACCTGGAGTGTATCACCTCTTCTTTCCTTAAACTTTCTTAGGTGACTGCTTTGTTGTGTAAACTGATCTCTGTACTGTGACTCTTTGCCTGCTATCTTTAATCCCATGTGATTTACCTTCCATCTTCATGTATTGACTATAAAAAATTGTATAGACAGTGAAATCTCTCTGCACTCCCCTTTCATTCCTTTCATCTTTCATTCTTTTTCTGAGTGAAATGGGCAGTAGATCTAGATTGCTCTTGTTCTGGATGTGAATTGTGCAGAAAAAATGGTGTGTGTCACAAGTGCAGAGTTACACTAAAAAAAACAAGCAAAACAAGTGCTGGGTGAAAGCTTCTTGTCTAACACAGTTTTCTTATCCTGCAACACACTTGTAGCCCCAGTGGTTGTTCCTTGATGTGTGTCTGGGATGAAGGAGACATGGGGGGAAAAATGGGGAATGGCTTAAGCTGAACCTCTCACCCCATTTCCCACAAGAATATGAAAGTCTTTCGTGGCTTACCTCTGTAGTGTTTCATATTGAGGCATGTTACAGACATGGGTAAGTACAATTATCACCACTTTGTAGACGAAGAGACAGGCAGACAGATGAAACGAGGCTGACCAGGATTAATGCAGAGTTCATTTTGTATACCCAGACATTCCATGTCCTTCATGCACCATTTTCCCTTCAGTGCACAAGTAATATTATAGGTTCAGTAAGACATTTGGAAGGTTTTTATGTGGACTGTGATAGCAATTGGTTCTTTAACATAAATCTCCCAGACTTTTATCAGGGATAGTGTCTTGTGCCATCATAACTTTTGTGTGGCCCACACCCTTGTTGGTGGCTAAGTTCTGTTTCTGCATTGGTCCTTTGGCTTGTGGCAACATAAGGTGTAAATCTGATGCAGTGGTAAGTACAGTACTGGCAGCAATGGAGAATTCTCTTTCTACAGCTGAAATGTGAATTAAAACTTATGTTTGTTTCTTAAATAATTTCCAGGTGGCACTGCAGGGACTTAGGCTGACTGGAAGGAGACTGGCTTTTCTTCTTTTTACTAACTTAATGGTGCTCTTTTCAACTCCAAAGCAGATGGATTGTGTTTATGCAGAGTCAACTTAATTCTTGCCCCATTTAGTGACTTCATATGCCAGTGGCTTAACGTCACAGTGCATTTGAAAAGTTGTGGGTGATAAGATGGTTGACAGTGAGTTTTGTATTGCAGCTTTATTCAGTCATGTGTAGTAAACTCGGAGATTGCTTTTTATCTGTCACATGTGGAATTTAGAATATTCCACATACAGAGGCTTTACTCCATTTATGTTCATGCCATCACAATACAAGTCTACTAAAATTCACTTAACACTGTGAAGTCTAATAATTAAATGGGTTTCTTGTACTTGTGGAAATATTTTCTATATCTAATACTTACTTTTAAGATTGTGGCTGTGTATAATATTACAATGCAGCTTCAGTGTTGAGAGTGTATAAGGATTCTCTTTAATTTATAAGAAGTTTCTTTTAAAGTAGATTTTTGCTTTGCATTTAGTACATTTTTCAGTAGCACACCAGCATTTTTAATAAATCTGCCTTGATTTCTTCATTTGGTCCAGGGAAGCTTTTGTTATAAACAACCCCTGTCCTAATCTTTACTTGTTAAATTTAATCATAGTTTCTGGGGATTTTGCTTGATATGTCTGTATTTTTCCTTTTCGGTAAAGTTTCTGTATGTCCTCTGTGCATAAAAGTAAAAGCAACCCCAGGTTTAAACATGGATTCACTTTGAAGTTCTTCTCTGAAGTTATAAAGACACCTGACACAGGTCAGTGTTGCCCTGCTCAGGTGCCTCGTCCTTGTGAGCATGTAGCTCATGGGGAAGCTGATATAGGAGTGTCCTTGTGACCAGAGAGCTACACAAGAGCTTGCAGCACCAGGAAAAAAACCCTATAATCAAGTGGAATTAAGTATTAATGAAGTTTAAATTGGTGTTCTGGTGCAGTTCCTTCAGGTGCTTAGAATGCAGAGTGGCTGTTGCTTTTTGAAAATCCAGGCTGCCTTTAGAGGAGTGACAGTGGTACTGAACGTACATATGCTCACCAAAAGCTGTGTATTTACAGAATTCTGAATGTTTGGATTTTAGATGAAAGAAAGTTACAAGTTCAGGATTCTGATTGTTATATTCCACTTCATTTTTATCAAATAATAGGGTTTGTATCTTACTTTGGAGGGAGACTCTCTTCCTCTTCTTGCTCTCTGCTTTATCTCAGTTTACAGAATCCAGAATTTTATGCCATAAAAATCAATTTCACTTGTGGAGGAGGATTTTTGTCCAGTTAAAATCTTTTCTGAAAGTACTAGAACATTTCTGGTTGTGTTCTTGTTTTAGACAGACAAGAACAGCTCCTTCATGGATATACTGCTTTGCATAAAACAAACCCCCTTTCCTGAAACCTTTGTCAAAGGATCACAGGTTTTGTAAATGTAAATCAGCTGGAGAATGGGGAAACATAGATTACTTTTGTTAAGAGAGTGGAATTAGTGCCATTTTATTTATACACTTCCTTTTGAAAGCACACATTCCAAAAATACAAAAAATCGAACCCTATATTGTGTACATATGCACGTTTGACCAACTGCAATACCACAAAGAGCTGAAAGCCTTTGAATTGGAGTTTGTCCTGTTGGGGTTCAGTGGTTTGCCAGGCACTTAAACTGTGAATGTGCTTCTAATTTCCTTGGCCTCAGTGGAAGTGATTAAATCTTCACACTTTGGTGGTATGGCATGAGAAACAGGACCAAGATGGGACACGTGGGTCACCAGAACATCCCTGGGATTCCACACGCTCCAGAGATCCATGTGCGTTCACGAGGGTCTAAGATGGGCTGATTGTGCCTGGAAGGATACCTTGGGTTTATTTTTTTCCCCCTAGCAATTTCCCTCCCCTTTTTTTTTTTTTTCTTTTTTTGTTAGGGCTGTGTTGCTTCACCAGCTCTCATGTTGATACTGTAGCTCTTCACTGCACTTCATAGCATCCACCTGTGCTTTGTGGCAGTGCTGGGTTGTTGTGTTTGCTCGTGGTGGCTGCTGCATGCTGTGTGTGCACGTGCGCATGTGTGTGTGATGTCTGAAGCGCTCTCATTTGTTTCTCTTTTGAAATCCTGTCTCTGACCATCCCTCTTTCCCTGATGGAAAGGGACTGCATTGCTCTGATGTTGTGAACTAACAGCTGTGCTGAATTTGACACTATTTTCTTTATCAGTTATTGCTTTCTTTTTTCAGTCTTGCTACATTGTATTTAATTTTATTTATTTTTTAACAATTGTAAGCACATGCATTCTCTGACTCTTTAGAAACATGTTGCTGGCTGCTTCAGTCCATTTACATAGAACACTAAGCAGGAGTGCCCCAAACCCTTTAGAGGAAGGAGATTACATGAATTTGTAGGTTAGTTAGGACTGCATAGGTTCCTTGGTAACATGTAAGCTAGAAAAAAAAACAAGCCCAGAGAACTTTACTGTAGGTCTTTAAAGTACCAAAGAGAAACTCTTTTACTGATAAGTGAATCTGACAGTTACCTGAATACCACCTCAAAATTATGATGTATTTGTTGTAAATTCTCAGTATATGTCAAATTCTCAGTGGAATGTCAAATTTTAAGTAACAGAGGGCTATACATATATATATAAAATTAAATCTGTGCGACTCATGCAAGTTCTGAAAGGGACTTCTAGGCACCTCAGAGTAGCATAGCCCTAATACTGTTTTAAAATACAAATTCATTCTAATGCTAACCTCCATCATTTATCCTAAATGATTGTACTTTAGGGTGCGCTTAGTCTATACAACTGGAGAATCAAAGTGTGCTTGAGGAAGATTATGGACCCATAATAGAACAGTTTAGCCCAGCTTAGTAACAGAGGAATGGGTATTTGTCAAAAATATGGAATATATGGATATATTGGACTTATTCTGTGGGTTTTAAAAGGAAGGAAATAGCCTTGTCAAACCCAGAAGTCCTTTTTGTTGTCTGGCATTGTTATACTGTCATAGGTTAGGCTGGTCTGGAGTTTTACCCACTGTGGAGCATTTGTGCTGACAGTTGCTGTTGAACTGTGTGACAAATTGTTCTGTAGTGAAGGGGGCACATGCAAATACTGCTAAACCCTTTGAGTCCACAGTGGGGGAAAGCACATCAGAAACCTATGGCATTATAGAGCTTCTTATATGGAGCACAGACAGCAATCCTGGAGCACTTATTTCCAAGAATTCTAGAAATTCAAGATGTCAGGCAAAAGTTAGGAAAAGCCCTTCATGGAAATGCAGCACAGTGCACATATGAGTGCACAATGAGTGTGCATAGTGCTCTCTGGAGATAACTAGAATTCATTGGGTGCTTGCTGAAAGCAGATAGAAGGGGTGCAAAAAGGAGTTTGGTTACTAAGCTAGCATGTCAGGTTAACCTTTAGAGAAAAGCTCACTAACCCTCCCTTCATGCTCCCCCTCCCCCTAATCCCTGGAGGTTGCATGTGCTTCTCATCCTGCCAGTGCACTGCATTTCTTGTTTTGCGATTACTTTTGTCTGTTGTCCCTCTGTCCTCAAAGATGATCACCGCACCTATGGCCCGAGGTGGGATGCAAATCAGACCACGGTTCCCGCCTACCACCGCTGTGTCTGCTACAGCACCAAGCTCCATTCCCTTGGGCGGACAGCAAATGCCACAGGTATTTACTGAGTCAAAGCACGTTGTGTCAGGGATTCGCTGCCTGGTTGTAGCACTGCCTTTCGAGCAAGGGGACCTTCACTTCTGCACCGAACAACAAACTTGCTGGTGTTTCTCAGGGTGTTGGGCTGTTTAGGTTGGGTTTTTTTATGGATCCCTTTTCATTTTAAATAATAGGTTTTCTGAGAGCTTGGGATATCAAATAAAGCATTATTAAAGTGGTGTAGGTCTTTATTTGAACATTTCAAACTTTTCCATGTTCGGAATTGATTCAGCTCTCAAATTAGAGGTCCTCACTCTACGAGTGGGGATTTATGAGAGTGTTGCAAGTCTGCAGTTACCTGGCTGAGTTGTGACCAGGACCTTGCTTGTCATATGTTCCTGCTCTGTACAGATGCTCCCTTCATTACTAGTAAACTGGGGCTCATTTCAGCTGGGGTAGCTTCTTGGCACAATATCAGGGACCCAGAAAAATTCAAGCTCTTCTTTTTTTTCATGATTGTGTAGGAGCAAGTGCCAGAAGGATCCCACTTGTACCTGCATCGGAAGAGAGCCTGTGTAGGCAGGCTGGCAGCACCTGTCCAGCTGTTGCTGGGAAGTGCGTGAGGTCAGAGTACTGCATTTCTTCTCAGGAATTTGCAGAGGTAGTTAAAGTGACCAGATGGATTCTGTAGTCCTAGGCAAACACACCTGTTGTCATTTCTGGTTTAAGATGGATGTTCATTTCAATCCAGGACAGCGTTTATATGTTAACTGACAAACCTGGGCATAGCTGAGGAGTCAGAGGAGAATCTACTCTGAGCTTTGGTTGGTCTAGCAGTTTATACAGAGAGACACAATCATCTCCCATGTGAAATACAATATGTGGTTTGATGGTGAGGCTTTCCCATGGGTATTTAAGTTTTAGTTTGGCTTATATTTAATATTTGACTTGTAACAAAAGCCCTCTGGCTCAAGCATTCAGTGCCATAGGCTGATCTTTTAGCACTGTCATTGTTTTTGAGGAGCTTTGATTTCCAACATTAAGTGAACTGGTCATCAAGGAGCTCTCTCAGTAGGAGGCCAGGGATGGTGAAAATGATGTAGAGGGCTGAGCAACTAGAGAAGGCAGAAGAAGAAAAGAAATTTTTCATGAACAGTGATTTACAATACTGTAAATGCTTTCTGGAGTTTTCCTTTAGGCCGAAAGTTCCCCCATTACTACCCAAGCCTTCCTTGTTGCAATCTCCTTTCCTTGCCATTGGCTTCTGTCTATTTGCACACTCTTGTTACTGGGAGCTTCTGAAAGCTCTCCCCAGCCTTATCTCCTGAGTGCTGTCCTTGCCTGAGACTCAGCAAACTGGAGATAAACCCAGCCATGAGGCCTATCTACCAACACAGTGGACTCTGAACACTAAGAGTAGCTTTGATTTAGTGGATATAAATGCAAACTTTTATCATGCAAGCCTAAATATCTCCTGGCCAAGACTTAGGGCTTGGTGTCATGATCAGGTCACTGTAGAGTCACAGAGCATGGATTTGTTCAGTGGGCTGTCACGGCTGACCATGAACATGCTTGTAGGGCACAGATTCACATCCCTCAGTGAAAAAATATGTAATTGCATTTGCTTATATCTGTTGAAGATGAAGGGTATACAAATGATCAGTAACCATGGCTTGACTCTGGAGTTAAATGAGTTCAATGGAGTTACAACTCTGGAGGGAAGATTTTGGGTTTATAAGTATTTTTGTGGTGGCTTTTTTTTTTTATTTGTTTGGTTTTTGGTTTTGTTTTTTTTTTTTTTTTAAGCTTTCTTTTTACTCTGAGTTGGCTGGAAAGAGCATTCCCTAGAAGTTGAAATTTCATTAAATTGTTGTAATCTTAATCCATGTCCTGGAAACAATGTAGAAACCTAAACCTGAAGATCTATTCTACAGACAGACATCTGAAATTGTTATGTAGCAAATGAATTGCTATCAAAGCAAAGCAAGGCAGTAAGTTCAGAATTGCACAGTTCTGAATGCATGTTTCTGAAAACGTTGCAAATTTGCTTACTGTTAGACATTGGCCTTTGGTATGGTCAAATGAAGCTGGCAGAGAGCAAACCTGTCGTAAGAGGGAAAGCTGTTTGCCTGTGCATATACTTGAATGAGAAGGGATAATGTAAAAAAGTTCAATTTATTCAGTGCTTGTGTGCACAGTAGATGCTGAGTGTCCTTTGCTTTTCTGCACCATTTATAAATTACTGTGAAGGGCCCTTGGTGTTCAAGTAGGTACAGAAACTTGAATCTGGCAAAAAACCTGATGAAACTTTTCTCCTTCCTTCCCAAGACACAAAGATTGGAGTGTTCAGAAGTAATCACCTGTAATCAACTGGAGACGCTTGGAAGGGGCCTGATTTTCAGGAAGTGATGGTCTTAGTTTGACCTGAGGAAAAATGGGTGCAGCATCCAAGCTCTAAATTATTTGCTGGTTAATACAATGTTAAATAGACTTGTAAAAAGTCAGGGAATGCTTTTTGCAGTGTCCATCCCAGCTTCCTTCCAAACAGTGGTGAGCTGCTTGCTTTCTATGGGTGCTTTTCAATCCCCAAAATGCTTTTCCAGCTGTTGAGGAGACAAATGCTGTTAAAGAATCCACCTTTTATGTATAACAGTAAGCACAACCCAGTGCCTTTTGATTATGGAGAAAAGGAAGATATAGTAGCTGATTTAAAACATGACTTCAGCCTCACTTGTTCTAAATGGTATCCTCGTGGGAGAGGTTGCAAAGGCACTGGGGTTATTGAAGGTAAAAAACCCCATCATAGTATGTCAGGCTGCATTTGATTTTAAACTGTTCATTAATGGCTGACAAACTGGCATCTTCAAGCCTAGTAGTTTTGCACAGAGCTGGGGATTGTTTGTGCCCTATTTTATTTTGGTTTTTTGTGGAATGAGGCCTCTTGCAGAGCTGCAATGTGATATTCCAAGCAAAGCATTTCCTGTTGTATTCGCTGTGTACATGCAAAAGTAGACCATATGATACCTTTAAAATGTGCTAAATATCATGTCCTCTGGATACAGTTGGATGATCTAATGGATATTTACCAAGAGAGTGAAGGACAACACCCATTTGCAGCACCCATGATGTGTCTGGGACTTGTGGATTTACTGGGACCTTTGCTTAAAATTCATTTAGACTGAGGGAAGCAGAGTTGTTAATTCATAAAGATGCTCATCATTGACTTACAGAACAGACATGGAGATTACTGAGCCACGATGTATCTTTGTATGTACTTACTTATAGCCTCAGGTCATGGGAACTCTGCATGTGCCTTAAACATGATCACTTAACATCTTCATTACTGTATCATGCTCCGGGCCACTCTACAGGTTTTCTTGTTTGTTTTTGAGTGATTAAGAGAATAAATGTGTATTAGAACAAATGTGAGAAGTTGCTCAAATTTGAGCATCGTCTGGCTCTGGCACTGTAGGAGTGTACAGAATAAACTTAGTTGTTACCCAGAGTTTGGTGCTGTTCTGGAAATGCTCTCATCATCTCTTTGTCCTTCAGGCACACCTCAGCACTCTCCAAAGGTCAGAAAGCTACTTCATTTTTTTTTTTTTCCACACAGCCATTTAGTTTGGAGTGTTTCTGTCTCACACAGTTTTTCGAAGCTGAATATTTGAACAAGATGTTGCTGACTTGGCTTACTTACTTGTTTTTCTTCCTTCTTCCTAAAGAAAACCGGTTGAGAAGCTACAGTCAAGTCTGATAGACCTTTGAAGACTATAATGAAAAGGTCAAAATAAGGAGGGGGGGTTTATGACTCTGAATTCTCAAGTGAGAATTGTCTTTTCTTCCTGCTCTTTAGTTCTAATAAAGTACAGGTTTTTCTGGTACAGGTATTTCTGACATTTTAATTGCAATATGATGGTTTGGGAAGTGAAAAACAATTAGTTGTTCAAGTTATGTGCAATTTCAGTGGTTATTTCTAGTGAAGTTGATATGAAGTACTGCCCTGAGAGCCTCAAGAGCGATGAAGGTGGGACTGTCCTTATGAGGAAGAAAGGAAACTAATGCTTTCATTTCTTGTAGGCCAGAGGATCCACTTCTCTCCGCAGGTAAAGCTCTTAGTTAGGTTCCCATCCTCTACTCCCTTTTGTTGTTATTGATCTGATCTTTTCCCTTTCAGGTCAGCCAGAACAATATTACCATGATGTCATCCCCATCTCCTGTCCAGCAAGCTCAAACACCCCAGTCAATGCCTCCTCCACCACAGCCACAGCCATCGCCTCAGCCAGGCCAGCCAACTTCTCAGCCAAATTCAAATGTCAGGTGAGCCACGCTGCAGCTCCTGAGGACTTCTGTTAATGCCATAAGGGTGAGGTTTTCAGAAGCATTCAGTACATCTTACTCTATTTCCACTGAAGTGAATGAATTTCAATACCAACTGCACGGAGAGCACAGGTGGGATTGTGCTGGATACACTCTGAAAACCCCCCTTTTAAATAAAGAAGCTTTGTATGAAATCCTCACTGAGACACAACTACAAAGTGCCATAACGATGCTTACTAAAATCATATCTGCTCGTAGGCTGATTATCCTTCCTTGTCAGATTCTGGCAGGTTTGATTTTGTGCTTATTTTTCAGCTCTGGCCCTGCTCCCTCACCCAGCAGCTTTCTCCCCAGTCCATCTCCACAACCATCCCAGAGCCCGGCAGCTGCACGAACACCTCAGAACTTCAGTGTCCCATCCCCAGGTCCTCTAAACACTCCAGGTAAATGATCTGAGAGCTGTACTGCAGACCAGGAGTTTTGGTAACTGTAGTAGTTCCCAGGAAACCTGCTGGTTTTGGCTCTTTAAAGAGCTCCACAAAGCAGCTGGCATTGCAAGTAGTGAACACCACTGTTGTTTGCTTTGCAGTTTGGAAAGCACCCACTTAAGGAAAACTGCAGCAAATCTGTTGTGTTGATGTAGTGTTTAATACAACAGAGTGAAGGCAAAATGAGGACTTAGAAGATGGGTATATGGAACTTTGGAACTTTTCAGAAAAATTGGTATTACATGGGAATTGCTGTTCAGTCCATAGAACATGTTATATCTACCCAAAACTAAAGGATTGGGCAAGCACTTGAACCATGGAGGGCGTCCAGTTGAGGATTTGGATGTTTGACATGAGCTACACTTCGAGAGTGCCACATTTCAGATCTCGATTCTGAAACGTGAGAATAATGTTCTGCGGTATCCTTTATCACCCTGTGACCTGCAGTCTTCCTTCTTGCCAGGAAATCCAAATTCTGTCATGAGTCCAGCCAGTTCTGGTCAGTCAGAGGAGCAGCAGTATCTGGAAAAACTCAAACAGCTGTCAAAGTACATCGAGCCGCTCCGGAGGATGATCAATAAAATAGATAAAAACGAAGGTGAGCTTCCCTATATTTAGCCATGCATTTCTCTCTGTCAGCTCACTCTTCTGCTGAAAGAAGCAGTACTTTGCCTTATGTGATGGTTTCTATTCCAGGGATTAAAAATTACAGAGAAAGTTTGTTGCTTTCTTCCTATGACTGTAAAGATTTTACTGTGAAGAGTGGGCAAAATCCTTACCCTTAAGTTATTATCAGTTGTCCTTTACTTCTGATGGTCTTCAGACACATAGAGTGTATGCAATGGATATATTTATGGGTAGATAGATCTGTTGGTTCACACTACAGTCTTCAGTGTTGGCTCGTGTATACATGAAATTATGTACTTTTAACAGTCTACTGTATTTCTGTCTGCAAGAATGGAAGCTATCCTTGTAGTCAGTGTTTGTGTCTCTGGTACTATTTCAGACAGGAAGAAGGACCTGAGTAAAATGAAGAGTCTCTTGGATATCCTGACTGACCCTTCAAAACGGTAACTCTTTCCTTTTGGCTGGGCATCAGTTTTCCCAGCTATTCCAGAAATTTGTTGTTTAGGATCCAGCCACGTTTACATTGAGGCTCTGTGGGGCTCAGATAGCAATAACACTTCAGCCAGGGTGACCATTTTGTGGTGATGAAATTTCTCCTCTTCCACAGGTGCCCCCTGAAGACACTGCAGAAATGCGAAATTGCTCTAGAGAAGCTGAAAAATGATATGGCTGTGGTAAGTAATGCTTTGTGCTAGTAAAGATAAGCAATTAGTTCTGAAAGGCAAGATAAATTTCTTGCATTTCCTGTGACTCATGCTGTTAAGGGTTCATGGAAGGTTGGACTAAATAAGAAAACAGGGAAAAAGGGGCATTTATTTCACGCAAGTCACCTGTGTGTGTCTTAACTGAACTTTCAAGGTTCTTGTGCTTTGTGCCAAGACTCAAATACTTCCTTCTGTGAACTTTTGTGGCTAATTTCAGGACTGCCTTCCTAAACCAGAGCTGCAGATGTCTTTTTGCGTGTATTTTTTTTCCTCCTCCCTTACTGTGTGCAGTTTGGAGAGTCATTTGCATTTCATGCATTGAAAGTTTACCGCTATAAAATTTTGCAGAATCAATGGTAGATGTTTCTTTTTTTGGTAATGATGGTGATGTCGTGTTTCAGCCTACTCCACCACCTCCACCAGTGCCCCCAACCAAACAGCAGTACTTGTGTCAACCACTTCTGGACGCTGTTCTGGCCAACATCCGTTCCCCCGTGTTCAACCATTCCCTGTACCGAACATTCATGCCGGCCATGACTGCGATTCATGGACCACCCATCACGTACGTATCACCCACCTGCTGTCTGTCCTGAGCCTTCATTATTTGGGGCAGAATGTTTGTTTGTAGAAACTGTTAAAAGAACAGAGGGATTTTTGCATGGGTGTTGGTGTAACATTTTCACCTGGTCCTTTTGTGGACTGGGCTTTACACAGGGCCCCAGTTGCTTCCCCTCGAAAACGGAAATATGAAGAGGATGAAAGGCAGACCATTCCAAATGTCTTGCAAGGAGAAGTTGCAAGATTAAATCCTAAGTTCCTGGTAAACCTGGACCCTTCCCACTGCAGCAATAATGGCACAGTTCATCTCATATGCAAGCTAGGTAAGCAAGGAGACGCTAAGGGCTGCATTCAGAAAGAAGTGCTGAGCTTGACTGTAGGAATTTGAAACAGCCTTGAATCTGGCTGACCTGTGACTTCTGCATGAAGTACTTACATCTATACTTATCATAGCACTGCATCATCACAACATCCTGCACAGCCTGTTTCAGGGTACACTTGGGGATTTCATTCACACTGATTGATCCTTTCTCTGCACTGAACTTGCAATTGGTAACCTCAGTGTCTAGAAAATTACTTGTTGCTAGCAAAATCTTGATTCCTGATTTTACCTACTCTGATACGTGAGTTGTTGTGCCTCCATCAAGTAGGACAGAGCTAGAGAAATGGTGAGTTAATTTTTGGGAGAGTCTATTTCAGTTTGTACTAACGATCACTGGCAATGGTGTATGTCTAAGAAATTAATTCAGATTGCTTTTTTTTTTTTCATTGTAGCGGAATAATCATAAAGTGGTGCAGTCTGTTTACTTGTTTTGTTCTTGGATTCCAGTAGGGAAAATAGATTCTTTCCTTCTTCTCTTCCTCTGAAAACTTGGGATTGGTTTTGTTCTGAGTATTGATACATGAGGCACTTAATTTTCAAAAATGAGGTGTCTAACTTGGTGAAGTTGAGCTGATGAAATGGTGAGAATGGCAAGGTGCAGAAGTGTGTGAGAGATGGAGCTCTGTTTGCCAGGCTTTTCTACCAGAAATTTAAGAGTGTTGGTAAAGAGAGCAGTGAGATTTCCTTTCAGTAAAAAAGGAGGTGTACAGTCAGGTTCCTCCTTGGGGTTCAGAGACTAGAAACCAAGCTGTGTTATGCACAAAACCCTTCCATCCAGCAAGGAATGCTTTGTTCTGATGGGAAGTGTGTTTGCATCCTAGATGACAAGAATCTTCCCAATGTCCCACCACTCCAGCTCAGCGTTCCAGCGGATTATCCAGATCAGAGCCCTCTGTGGATAAAGAATCCCAGACAGTATGGTATGAGGCTGCTGGCATGACACTTGTTGGGCATGTCTATGTGGTAGTAGGGGGGAAATGTGAACACTTCATGTTACTCTTGTCTTTTAATTTATTTTTTTTTAAATTATAACTTCCTTTATCTTTTATCTTTTTTTCTTTCCAGCAGCCAACCCCTTTTTGCAGTCAGTGTATCGATACATGACTTCAAAACTCTTGCAGCTTCCAGACAAGCATTCAGTCACCGCACTCTTGAACACCTGGGCACAAAGCATTCGCCAGGCCTGCCTCTCTGCTGCATAACAGCTCACTTTCTAAAGCATGGAGCAAGAAAGAAGGTCTCAACAGCTGGCCTCTTCCACATGCCACTGGAAAACCACAGTTTGGGGAGGTTACTTCAGAAGAAAAGAAGCCTTATGTTGTTTTGTTTCTAGGTGTCAGGTTCAATAGAGAGCCTGATGTTAGACTTAGCCTTCATGCTTTTTATCTTCTGCCTCGGTGGACTTTTGCCAGCATTTTCAAATATACAAAATGTGTATATATGGTTCTTGAGACTGTATTTCAGATGAGTTTTTATTGTCTTCTTAGAGAAGAAATTATTTGTGGACTTCCATCAGGGAGTCTGGTATAAGAGGGAGTAGGGAGAAAATGTCCTAATTTGCTTCAAAGTTTGCTCGGTGCCAGTATTCCTTTCACACTGTATGTTTTGTGACCTGATACTGCCCCAGAAATAAATTAGCTCCAACTAGAATGTGCTTGCAAACTTCTCAGTGGTTGTAGGAATCGTTTTGCCTTTTAGCTTTGCCCAGAGATGGGATAAATTACAGGGAGGCATCCCTCAAATATGTGAGATGAATCTGGATTACACCTGGGGGTGGGAACTTGAAACCAAATAGAGCAAAAAAAAGTATTTTGTAGCTCATTTTAAATGCAACTTTGTATAAACGGTTTTTGGTTAGCATGGACCAGGTTTGTCACTCCAAAAGAGTGAGGCTGATGAGGAGAGAGATACTAATGTGCACACTGACTTCCTCTCTGAATTCAGTAAATGTGTATGTAAAGGTGGGGAGGGAAAAACCAACATAAAGGTTGTATGTAAAGGTGGGGAGGGAAAAACCAACAGTATAAAGGCCAAGTGACACCAGTCAATCCAGCGGGCTCATAGCTACATTTCTTCTTTTATTAAGAGTCTTTCTGGCTTCCCTTGGGAGTTGATGCACTGCAGTGAAAATGCTTCTATGCATCAGTTTGTTTAAACAGAAAAGGCAAAAACCAACAGCTCAGGAGTAGAACTGACAATTAGCACATTGTGTCTTGAGCAACGATGGGCACTCAAGTCAGTCATCAGCTGCCTTATTGTTGGGCACTTCTAATGAAAACATTTGCCACAAGTAACTCTAATTTCATGCATTTTTCATATTTCCCCCATGCTTATAAATTGCTCTCTCTTGATTTCCTGGTGCAGAATTTCAAATGTCAGATGATCCCATTATATCCTGCCCCATCTCTCTGTATTGTGCAGCAAACCTTGAAGAGTAGCTGGGCTCTCTTACCGTAGTGTCAAGAAATTGCTATGACCTCCATAAATCTGTGTGGTGTCATCAGTTTTAGGATGTTTTTAAATGTGGGTACTTAGTAAGCACTGACTGAGGCAGGAGAATGCTATCAGTATTTTGTACATGAACTAATGCATTATCTGTTTGTTTCTATTGTAATAAATTTATTATTATTCCTGTGTTAGACATTATACTGCTCTTCCCATGTTAGATTCCAGTTTTGTTGTGCCACTGGATGATGGTAACTGTGTTCTGTGGTAAGTGAAAATTCACAGGCTTTGCAGGTTAAGGGACAAAATCATAAATGGCTTTGTGTCCTATGCAACATTATCCTTACTGTCCTGTGAGTGAACTGGAAGATCTGATCAAAAGGTTAGTAATGGTATCTACAAATGACAGATGTAGTTTTTTAACCTGTAAAATAGAGAGAAATTATGACCCAAGTCCTGTGACCACAGAGCAGATTATGGAAGTAGTGGGGAGTTTAAGCAAACAAGTTAACAAAACCAAGGCCCTCATGTATCAAATGCTCAAATCAACGCAGCAGGACAATTATCTACAGCAGGACAAGGTAAGTAGGAAGTATCTTCTCTTATGCTGGTGTGGAATGTGGTGAGATGCAACCCTTGAGCAGCTCTAAGGCTGAAGTACATTGATGGATTTGTTAGTAAAAAATGGTTATTGCAGGCTTACTTTCATTGTACTGAATGCTCTGGTTCCTACAGCATCATTTTCGATGTTTATTTACATTAGCTTATAGGTGTTTTCTTGCTGAACCTCATTTTGCTTTGATTAGCCTCTTTCTTGGTTGCACTGATGTGGCATATTCTTTAGTGAGCACAAAATGGTTGGTATTTTCCTGACTGAGATGCCTTTGGAAGCTGATCTTTAGATGAAGATGTTTTGAAATCACCAAATAGACTCTGAAAATGTGCTTTTTATGTAGTGCCCTGGGTTGTGCCACTCTGTTAATGAGACCCCCACCCTGCTGGGCAGGGCTGGAGCTGAGCTCCGTGCGTGTTTGAGCTGCAGTCAGATGCTGCTGTGAATGTTACGATGCACGTGTGTGGGGGCTCTCATGTTTTCAGTAAATGTTTTCTCTCTTTATCTCACTGCTGTGTGCAGTCCTTAATATTTTACAGGAGTAATGCTGCAAAGCAGCTGCCTGACATGGGAACTGATGGATTCCTTAAACATTGATTTAACAAAAGGGTATTTCTTGCCCTTTTCATGTCGGGGGAAAGGGACAACAAAGTATTTGTTGATCTCCAAGAGAGGAGTGTTCCTATCTGTTGCCCAAAACTACCAGGTTAGAGCTGCAGTAAGGTTAGAGGGGAAACAGAGCAGTAACTTCTGTTTTTCTAAGTGCCCAGTGAGCACAGTGGCTCCAGCAGACGTGCAACCAGCATGAAGTGTTTTAGGGAGGTAGAAGACATACACCCGCCTGGGCTGGGGAGGCCTCAGGCAGGCAAGGGGAGGTTTAAACCCAGCACTGGGCTATGAGATGTCACTCTTGCTGCTTTGTCCCATCTTCTGTGTTTTAGTTTTTTTATATCAGTGCAACTTGTTATAAATTTCTGTGTGCACTGCTATTTCTGTTGCCTTTTAGAGGTCCTACAGCCAATTCTTGCTTTAGAACAGTGTAAGAGGCTTGAAAGCAGTTATTGCTGAATCAAAAATATTTCTCTATATGGCATGGTTTATTTCAGTTTTATAAATACTGATGACTCATTCTTCCACCCTCAAAAAAACCAAACAACTCATTCACTAGATTCTCTAGGAATACTTTTATAAAAATAGAATTTACATTGATTATCTCCACAAGACCACATCATTGTTTATAAAACTCAGTTAACTTTAGTATTAAAAAATACTTTAGTAAGATCTGATATAATTAAAACATTTTAGTAATTGAATTCCAGGCTCATCCTTACAACATTTATTTTTACAAGTGTAAGCCAGGAGAAGGAAACTAGTGTTCATGTGGTTTCCATCCTTCAAAGAAAAAAGTCATTATTACAGCATAAAGAAAATACCCAATTAGGATAATGAATGTGCAGCCCACCGGCCCGATGTAAAACCAGGATGCAAGGAAGTAGATCATCAGCAAAGAAATGAGAGTCCTGTAGCTGGCCAGAAACCTCAGACTGATCCTTGGTCCCCAGTTCTGGCTCGTTCTGTCCCTCACCACGGGACTGAACCTGATTTTCTGTACAAGGTGGGGGTTGATGAGATGATAGCGACAAAGTCTGCCAACAAAATCTTCCCTGGAGCAAAGCACTTCCATCTGATCGGCAAACTGAGGTAAGAAACATTAAGACATTAGTGCTGTAATGCAACTACTGTCATAAAGTAAGTGTAACTATTTTATTAAACCTATTTTATTTATAGGATGAGGATTATAGGAAATAGGGGGCATCAAAATGCACTTTTAACAGCAGAACTGCTTTAGTGCAGACTTGGCCTTGTGTTTGTCAGAGCTATGGGAAGGAAAGAATTTGCTTCTCCTGTTCGAGAAACACTGATTCTGAATGATACTCCACTGTTCCTCAACCATGGAGAATACTTTAATAAATAACATTTTAAATGTTTTGTGTAGGAAAAGCAGAACTCCAGGTACAGAGGCAGGCCTGTATTAGGAAATACCCATCTAGACCACAGTAAAGGAGATGGAGCGAAAAGAAAGTGTTACATGTGTGCATGTGCAGTGAAGAACACAAATCTGCAAGGGAAACACAAAAGGAGGCGATGCCGTCCTTACCCTCTCGTTGAGCACCGAGGACAGGCGGAACAGGAGGCGGACAAGGGTGGCATTTTCGTAGCTGCGGATGGGCTGGAGCTCAGCGTCTCCCTGGTACTGCACCTCAAACCGCCGCAAGCCGTTTATGATCTAGAAAAGGGGAAATAAACACCTTATCTTGCAGTTCCCAGCTGAAACACCTTTAAACTGGCACGTCTCTTACCCTCAAGTAAGATGCTTTTTTTTTTTTTTTTGGTTGTAGAAGGGCAGCTTGTGTTTTCAAGAACAACCGAGGGGGTGATAGGGAATGTTTTTTCTCTCACCTGGTACCTGCCAAGGGGTGTGAGAATGAGGCCGTTCTCGCTTTGAATGCAGTCTGGAAGCTGGTTTTTTCCATTCTCGTCTTGAGCTGTCCCACACTTCATCATCATCTGGGTCAGTTGGGCTTCACTCAGCTACTCAAGAAAATAACACAGTTCTTAAGTAGGTGTTTCATCTACCCTCTATTCCACTTATTTCTCACTTCACAAACTCATTAGCACTGGAAGTCCTTGAAAGCCAGCTCAAATACCAAGAACTGCTTGATAGCACCTTGGTTAGACATTAAAAGGAGATAAAATTCTCCAGGTTAACCCAAGAAAGGGGTTCTGGTTTGTATGTCCCTTAGCTCTCAAGGAGTCCCAAACAGCTGTCTCCTAGGTCAGTTCTGTGTAAGGGAGTGTGGCTGCAGAGAAATTCAGTTGTTCTCTTAACAGTTCATCCATAGCTGCAGTTATTTGCTCAACTTTTACAGCTCTACGTTTAGAAGACGGTGGACTGTTTTTAAAATTGCCTTGCCTGTTTTTAAACAAGAGGACAGGTCCAAGGAAAGGGACAGGTTTGTTATAAACTATACAGTCCAAAAGAGCGGTCACTTGAAACAAAGTAGGCTTGATATTTAGAAATTCAGAGCAGCTAATAAAGGGTTTTGAGGTGGTCAGGTGAAGTCAAGAGTCTAGAAGACTTTAACAACAAAATTTACCAGCAGAGCCTCTGGATGGCTTTGTGACCCCCCAAAGAACGAGAAACACAGACATACATTTGAGGAACCCTGACTCTTGTTCACACTTTGCAAGTTCTTAGAAAGATGTTACGTACCTTAAAGATTTGGCACAAGTATTCCAGTGCCTTCTCTAAATATTCATCTGTTTTTTTGATGCTGTCTTGCCCAATTTCATCAAGGTCATTGCCTGTGTAGGAACCATTCATGTCAGATGGTGTAAATCTAAACCATGAAAAGAAGGACTGGGTAGCCATTGTCTCTGCAGAATGGTCTGATATGGATTTTGCTGTCTGCTGTGCCTGACAAATTAACTGAGCAAGTTTTAACACCTGAAACAAAAAAAACCCGAAATTGTGTGAGACTGAGCATCAATACATGGATAAAACTGTGCCTTGATAGCTGGCAGTGAGAGCAATCACAGCAAATTCACTCTCTTAGCTTATATGGACTTGTGCTGACTGTTGGTTGCACTTCCCATATGGAGAGGGCAGTTCTTGGATGCTGAAGCATTTTAAAACCTGAGTGCTGCTTAGGTTCTGATCAATACAGTGGATCAGAAGTTCACAGTAAGCATGTTTGAGAGGAACTACCCACCATCTACTATTCCAAGGCAGCAAGCTGTTGCACTGACTTCTTATTTAGCAAAGAGCAAGCAGATTTTTACAGCTGCGCTGGATTGAAAGCCCTCAGGTTCCAGAAGTCACTGTCAGCAAACTAAATTATACAGTAATGCAGAGTGTGAGGTTTTCCACTCTTAACTTCTCATAACATGGCTGCTCAGCACTGAGAAAACACCTCTTGAAGTAGAAAGGCAGGTGACAAGAAGCTTGTCGCTTACCAAATTCCTGACTTCTGTGCCAAACATCTGTTTATACTGGAAGTCCTGTCCTTCCAGGCTGTAAACATGACTCTTCACCTTAAATGAGGCATCTGTAACAGCTGGAGACCGTGATGACAAAAAACTCCCCCCAAGTGTGGGGCTCATAAAAAGTCGGTGTTGACGGTGGGGAATAACAAGTTCTGGCTCCAGGAATAACTGTTCTCCTGGAATTTGAGAAAAGCAGTGAAGATGGTTACATAATACTGTTCTTGCCTGGGGAAGGTTTAGCTGTCTTAAAGCTGCTTTTAGACAGACAGGGGTTCTAGGGGAAAAGAGGCCTTAATTACCCTTTTTTATTTCATTCTCTCTGCCCAGCAAAAAATGTCAGAATGCATTTAATGCAGACCATACAGGCAGCACTTTAAGCCTGTAACATTTTTCAGCAAAGGCAGTGGAGAATCATGACATTTCAGATACTGATACTTGTCAAATCTTGCCTCTCCCCAATTTACCCTATCCTCATTATCCTCAAGTGCATGCATGACTAGCTGATTAGCTCTTTTGCTAAGTATAGAGACCTTCAGAGATATAAGAAGTTTTAATCCTGAAGACAATCAGGATTGTCAAGTAAGTCAAGTAAGACAAGTGTAAGAAAAACTCCCTATTGTAATTGTGTTCTTTAAGGGAAAAATGTGGAATCAAACCTAAATGATGGTGGTTAGAAAAGGACTACAGACTTTCAAACCAATATGACAAACATTAGTGGAGACACACAGACTTTTGAATGGCAGAATCGCATTCAAAATGGGAGAGAAGTCTGTTCACCTCACTGCTTCTGAGGTAAGATGTAGCTACTGTGAAGAAAGACTGAGACAGGACTGAGACAGCATAAGATGTCAAAATATCCTTTTACCTTTCAGGATCATTTCAGCAAGGTTGGGCTGAGCAAAGACCTTAGCTACTCGGAACACCATGAGGGCGTTTTTGGGGCTGACCAAGTCTGTTCGAAGAGCTCTGTTCAGAAATCCTACAAACAGCTTGGTATACATGAGTAGGTTTTCTTGAATGAAGGCAGCCCTGTCAAAGTGAGTACAGGATTTGTGAGTACAGCTATTTAAATAACTGTTATGTCTTCTGCCAAATAAGCCATTTAGGGAATGTTTTACACTGTCTCTGGAAAGATGGTGAGTTTGCACTGAGACAAAAGAATACTCTCCAAACAAAAACTTGTGTTCTAAAAAAGTCATCTCTACTCTTGTACAGGAAGTTAATTCAGGCTGACGGATAGTTTTTGCAATACTGCTGTTTTACTCTGGATCTGCACAAACTGGAGGTTGGCTCAGATTCCTCCCAGCTGCTTTCCTTCTTACCATTTCTCCGACACGCTGCGAGGCAAAGGCTCCGCGCTTTGGGGCGGCTTTTCGGGAGCGTATCTCCAAGGCTGCAGGTAACTCAGCCACATCTCCAGGACCTAAGCAAAATCACACATAAAACCACAGGAGTATCAATAATTTTTTGGAAGGGAAGACAAGAAAGGGGGTTTTGTTTGTTTGTTTTAAAATTAGCGAATATTATCTTAATGACACCTGAAAGTTTTTAGCAATAAATCTTTCTCTAGTAATCTGAGAACCTTTGAAAAAGAACTGAAAAAAAGTGTTTGTTCTTAGGACCAACCTGGATCTTCTGTAATACTCAAATGAGATGGCACTCAAACAGCTGCTACTACAAAAAAAGAACTTTAGCTGTGGCTACACCTACTTTTTTTAGCCCAATCAACAGAGATGTAGAGACCAAGAGGTGCTAAATGGCAGTAACTAGTAACTAGTTCTGTTAGGTAGAGACTTAAAAAGGGAAGCAGGTACATACTGCTCTGAAAGAGGCATCCAGAGGCCAGTGGCCAAAGCAGTGTTGCAGAAAGATGTAAAGCTTCTCCTGGACAAACCGAGGAATTACAACCCTGCAAACAGATTCCAAGACAGTCACATGTACAAACCACCAGCAAATTTTAAAAACAAAACAACCCAACCCACAAAAACCCAACACACTGCCACAACTGCAAATACAGAAAGGACTGACCAAAACTTGTTCTTTCTTAACTGAAGCTACTTCTGGGCATTGAATTTCAACTCCAATTCATAAACACCAGATACTAAACTAACCTTGGCAAGAATCCTCTAATAGCATTTTCTTTTCCCTGACTTGTGTCAGGATATAGACTAGTGTGTAACAGCTGCTGCTGAGGCTGCCCCCCTCAGTGGGTGTGAGAAATATAATCCATTAGCTCTCATGTACTTTTAATAATGTACTTCTGTATCTGAAGATCAAAACAACTCAACCTCTTGGTGAGAGCTGAGCTTTTCAGGGAGAAGCCCTATGCATTTCAGAGACAGGCTGCTCATGTACCTACCTTTTAAACTCCTCCAGTGGACTGGCTGTGTGGGAGTGGGCTGAAGGGGAGAGGGGCTCTGGTTTCAGGCTGTTGCTGAAAGCATGCAGATGTTTCACAAGCAGTCTTACCACTAGCACGTGCTCTTCAGTGGGCTTAAATGACTCCTAGAGTCAAAGCAAAAGAGAGGAAACTAGTAAGTGTCATATGCTAAATGTCCAGGAAGTAATTCAGGAAAATTATATTCTCAGCTCAAAATACAAGAAATGTTCTCTTCCTTCTAGGTTCTTCACCATAGTTTGGTGCCACCTGATTTTGGGCAGGCTTGCTCCCCAGGACAAGCTGTATCAATCTTCTGCCATGAGCTCACTAAGAAACAGTAGCATAATTTGATTGTAAGAAAAGGTATCTACAATACTCTAATGCACTGAATTTTGGGCTAGAATTAAAGAACAGAATAACTTGTAGATTTCAACTTACCCCTTTCTGAAAAAAGAATATTCAGCTTTTCATTATGATTATAAGTTCATTGCTGCAGACAGCACAGCAGGTCCTTTGTTTATGCTCATGGCTGGCTTTACAGAGTTCTCCTTCCTCTGCCTTATAAGAGAGAATAATCCTAGACAGAGTAATGGTAAGAATAAGAACTGCTTGGAGTCCTGTGTGATCCTGTTGGTTCCAGCACCCTTAGGGCTGGGAGCAGCACAAGGAGTGAAGGTGAGCCAGTGATGTCATTAAGGAACGAATGAGTGTATGGCAGAGCAGGGAGGTGAATGAGGTTAAAAAGAGCTGGTTCTGCGTGCCCAGCACCAGAGCTGGTCTGCTGAGGAATCTGGGGACTAAGCACAAATGCCTTTGCTACTGTGAGCTGCTTTAAGAGTAGTGAACTAATTTCAATCCACCACTGAAGGCAGATTTTGAGATAGCCATTTGTATTCTAAGTTTCACAGAAGCTGAGAAGAAACAAAAGTTACAGCTGGAAGTATAATGGGAAGTCCTGGGAGAGTGTATTAGCCAAGAGCTGCAAGATGTTCCCAGGATGGCAGGAGCAGCCATGCCAAGGTAAGACACTGAATACAACTCTAAGGGACTAGCAGGCATTTTTATACAAAAAGCTTCCACTTCTTAAATCCACTCAACAGTGTTTCCAGTGCTGGGGATGGGGAGGGGTCTGTGTGTGTCTTTGTCATTTTTCTGCAATGTCTGAGGCAAAGCAGATGTGTTTTTACAGTCTCTTAAGACTTTTAGTACACTGTGAGGTTCGCTCCAGACGCTTCAGGGCTTGATGATAGATACAGTCATGTGGTACAGCCAGATCTGAGACTCTTCTTAGAGCAGGACAAATGGATACTCGTCCTAATGAAGGCTGGTCATGTGGTTTTGACAGCTCCTGCTTATGCCAGCATGTTTTCTACAGTCCTGAGGAGAGTTTATGTAAGAGGGTAGAGCTCTGAGAGGTTACACGGTCCTAGGAGTTTGGATCAGGATCTCCAGAAGCACTAGAGAGGCTGAGGACTCTGCTATAGGCCTTGAAAAGGTGTAATCTAAAAAAAAAATCCTACATTCCCCTTGAAGGCACCTTTTGAATTTACAAACCCACCACTATTTCAGTACATCCTTTTGGGTGATGTCAGCAGTTTTCCCCCTTAGCAATTCTCATAATTTCCTCTTAACCTGGATCAGCACTATTATGAACATCACTGGTTTAAAAACTGTTTTTCCCCACCAGTGTTTTTGTTGTCAAACCTTATCTTACAGGATGTATGCCATTCTTAATTCTTAAACCAGTAATTAGATAAACATAATACAGAGATTTTAAGTAGTATGTTCTGTGTTCCTTTCTAAGCAGTACTTTGAGATATCACAGCACTTAATGAAAAAAGAAAGAAAAAAGGATTAAAGAGCAGGGAAATGCCATGTAGTGCTAAAGCGCTGTATAGTATATAAGCTTAGCCCTCCCCATTCCCAAAATGAAGACCCAATGAGTAAAGGTTGAAGTAGGGAAAGAGGAATCAGCAATCTGTTCCAACAGGAATGTCTTTGCATGCACATTTCCTGAACAATCTGCAAATGTACCACTTGTGCTTTTGCAAAGGTGGACAGCCAGGTTCACACTGCCACTACAAATTTAGTATTATCCAACGACATTTCCTTGGCTAAAACCCCCTAGATGTTACCTACCTTAATTTGGGTGACAACCATGCAAATTCTGATCTTTTCTTCCATGCAGGGTTTGCCTAAATGACTAATGAGGGGCAGAAATCTGCCACTGGTGAAGAAACATCAGCACAGCTGGTAAAAGTCTTTCTACACTGCATTACAAGAATGCATCTTTAGAAACGGAGTTCCCAATTAGTCCTCATAATATGCTACATTTTGACTATTTTCTCTATGACCTTTGCTAATTTCTCTCGGTATCTGTTTTCACTGAAAAATTCTGCAAATCTCAATGCAGTGATCTCAATCGAGCTGTCAAGTTGTTGGCAGAAAATGCTGCTGTACAGCCAGCACCAATACACTTCGCAGATTATATGATGGAACGAGATTTTTAATAAGGAAACAAAATGAAAAGATGATAATACTTGGTATGCGTGGAGGGCCTGGTAGCTGGATTGGGCAGGACTACCGTGGTGTTTACTGGAGATACTGAGTCGGTAGTGGAGAACCTCCAGCTGAGACAACAGAAACAAAAAGGAAGGGGGGAGGGAAAAAAGGAGAGAAGAGAGCAAGAGAAAAAAAAAAGTGAGAATGAGCCCAAGGAGGAAGGGTGGGGGGAAAAAATGAACATCACAAATACAGTCAGGGACAACATATCACAATAACAACTGCAGCCACAGTGTCCTCTTCTTTGTGGTGTTCAGTAGGGTGATTCCACAGTATTTCATACCCTTGGTCAACTTGGAAATGCAACTGGGAACAGGTGTCAGAAAAGTGGCTGTTCTCTGCTACCCTTAGAGCGAGTACTGGTAGGGGACATGGAGCTTTTGCCAAACAAACTCCCCATTTCAGAAGTTAACTGCACTGCAGCAACACACTTGCAGTGTGCATTTGTTAAAAATGGAATAAAAGAGGGCAGTGTCCTGCAGGCTTTTTTAAAATATATTTCAAAAACTTCCTGTGCTGCTGGTTTGTATACAGGGAAGAAACTCAGTCTGAAGTTTCCAGTTCAGAGAAATCCTGTGTTCTCTCTACTTAAAGGCCATTTGGGAAGGCTGCAGGTCTTGTGAATTTCCTCAAAAGAGGGAATTACTTTCACTATTAAGGAAACATCCCATGTAAAAAAGGCAGAAGACACACCTAACACAGTGCTATGTGCTGATGCAAAAGGCACATTGCCATAACACTGAAGTCTCTGCAAGCCTCAGCCAGCTCCCTTCTGGAATACCAAGGTAACGTGTATTTTTTACAATGTGCTGAAGAGGATACTGTAGCCACAGTGACACACATGTATGAAATTAATGAAAAAACATAAAACAAAAAATGTACACTACACAGATCCCAATGACTACTGTCAGGCATCCAAACTAACTCTCCAGATCACACCTCTGCTGTCTTTAAACAGCCTCTACCCAACCCCCTCCAGTGTCAGTTTGGCATCTTTTGGTTTTACACTCATAGAGTGGTAGGATTGTTATTGCACAGCTCAGGCAGATTCTCTGCTTCATTACTGACTCCCCTGCCACAGGAATCTGCAAGACCCTGTAGTCCCAGGGCTGTTCCACATGCAGTGCTGGGGGCTGAGCACCTGGCATTGGAAGGTCAGGAAGCATCACGTGAAGTTTTGTCAAACTACTTTTTCTAAGGGTTCATTGTGATTACAGCAGAAGGGGACAGGAAAAGAGATGCTGCACACTTGGACTCTGGGTCATCAGAGAAGGAAAAAGCAAACAGACAAAAGAGCTGGGAAATAGTGGAATTAAAGGGGGAAACAGTGACACTCAGCATAGCAAATAGCTTCAACCTCAGGTTCACAGCAGACCCAGAAAGAATTCAAAGTCGTAACACAGTATATCTTATCAAAAGAAATTATTTACTATTAATTCCCATGCCACTGCCTTCTGCTTGTAAAGGGAAGTCTGTGATGCTGTTAACGAGGTTTAAGAAAAAATCTATGATTATACTTCACAGGAAAGTTACTTATCTGGGATCTGCCTTGGCTCATCAAAGCAAACAAATCTGGCTGCTGGACAAAGAGCGAGCAAGTTCTGCAGAACCTCATCCCACCTTCCAATACAGGTATGTAGCCATTTCAAATCATGATGGTCAAACAGGTCTAGATCCAGGGATGAAGAGTCACTAATTACCCCTCCTTTCACACACACAGAAGGTTAAATGGGGTCAAGGGAACCTGCATAATTATTAATAATTTTATGAATGAGGTTAAGGTGATCTTGGGTTTCAAGTAAAGGCCCTTAACACTTGTGTTATAATAAAACTTACATTTCTGGATATTCTACTTCCTCTCCTGAGGAACTGTGAGGCAGACTGTTCTCCTTCAGCCCACCTGAGACCAACCTACAAAGCTCAGTTTAAGTATCACAGGGTTATGAACAGTCCTGTCCCCAGCTGATCTAGAACCTTTCCTCAGTCCTGCAGGATCCTCAGATCCTTCATCCATGGGGACTTCCAGCCCCCACTCCATTGTTCTACCCCCTAAAGAGTGAACACTTCCTATTTTACACATTCATGATTACTTCCCATCAAAGATGAAACTAAAGTACCCTCAAGGAGTTATGGCCTCAGGCTGTGGCTCCACACATCTCGTGGAGGATCCTGAAGTGCTGATTTCAGAGACCTGTAAGCTCTACCTAGACCCCACTCCACCATAACGTGGAGTCACTGTCTGCAACTGCTGCTCCCTACTGCTAGAAGAGAGCATCTGAAACACAGAGGGTGAACAGAGGAGAGAAGTTTAAAGCAATCCTAATTTCTGGCCTAAGCACAACGCTTGATGCACAAAAGACTGGACAGACAGACAGACCAAAGGTACTTCAAGCAAAGCCTTTCCATCACAGGTGCACAGCCATGCTGCTGGGAGTCCCAAGTGGAGACTTTGCAACATTACTGAGTTTGCATTTTGACCTCAAGAATAAAAGACAAAACCCATCACACTTCAGCTCTCCAATGTTTTTCCCTAGCAAAATATAGATGTGTTCTATTTCATATCCTGTGGAGTGAAGGATTAGAATTTCTCAGTCAATCGACTCTCATATTGCTCTTTCACCCAGGAATAAATCCTGAGTAGCTTTTGTATTTCTCCCTCCTTCCATGAAAGTCCCACTGTGACCCAGAGGGAATTCAGAGGATCAATGTTTTCTCCTTCAAATTCCCTTTACACTTATAATGTTTTGATCTTGGCCTCCCCAACACTTACTTCTTACATGCAGTAGTTTGTTACTGAACAGGCCACCACAAACTGCTTATAACAGTGTATTATCTGAGCAAGAGCTTGTCAGATATTCTGAACTCTGGAGCTGTAGAACTGCTTCTGACACCATTATGGTGCAAAGCATATTTTGGAATAAGAAACAACAAAAAGTGGCTTCTTTGCTTAACTGTGAAGGACAGTTTAGTAAGATTTTTTTTTTTTTAAATTTGGATTTATGCTAAAAAATGGTTACAGATCTCAGAAATTACTAACTGGTATTTCAGTAACAGTTGCTATCAATTTTAGATATTTTTAGCAGCCATGTTGCCCCAGTGAGATTTAACACAAGGGTTTTATAGTGGTATCTTCTTCACCATTAATCCTTTTATTATTGGTGTTCAGATTGTTGTGACCATCCCACAAACTCATCTTGTACAAAAAAAAACCAACAACCAAACAAAAACCAACACAACTTCTGCAATGAAGACAAATCTGAATGACACACTTATTCACAACATCCTTCGTAAGTGGATTAGCAATTGTGACACACTCATGTAGGTATTCTGGTAAGTTATTTTCTTCCTTTGGACCAATATACAAAAAAAAAAAATCTCCACAAAACAGGAGATTCACCCCAAGATAAGAGTTGAACCACCAGGAGATGTTCATGAATAAAGTACAAACCATTACCTTGACGTGAGGGGACTGCATTTTCTGATACATTTCCAGTGAATAATGATGAAGCCACATTTCAACAAAGATCTGCAAAACAAGTATTTTCTCAGCTAGGGAAAAAGAAATAATCCAGGACTGCCAGTCACAAGATAGGCATAAGGAAGACCATAGTATGTAATTTGAAAACTAAGCTGGTAAATAGAGGCACCTATTCAGAGATGTTTCAGGTTATCATGTCAATGACTGGGATGGCAAACTCTTGCACCCGCCAGGCATCAGTTAGTCACTTCAGCAACATGGTAGGAACTTGTTTCAGAGCAACTGTTAAGTCCAAATTTTCCTTTCCCTTCCCTTGATGGTGACCAGAACCAACTTCTCTGTGCTCAACCTTTGCACAGAAATGACATAACATCAAACAAAGAAAGATCAGGTGTAGAAACTTTATGAGCAAAAAACACTCAAATGCTTGAGATCAGTAATTAGAAACTCATTAAAAAAAAAAAAAAAAAAGGATAGTAAGTGCTTTTCCAAGCTACAACTTAACTGTTTCACAGTGGTTTTTTGTTTCCCTAACAGAAAGCAACAGCTGTGCTGCTCAATTCCAGAAACAAGCTAAAGCAAAACAGCATGGACTGTCTCTGGTTTAAAAAGAAGAGCTCCCTCAGTCAGCAGCAAGAAATCCAGCTTACCTGAAGCAGCGTTTCTGATCTCCAGATCTCCTGGGAAGCCGGGTCAGCGTTCACAGAGGGCTGGTGAGCAATGTGGCGTTTCAGCAGGCTGGTGTGGTGCATGCCATAGGAAGAGAAGGGCACTGCTGGAGACCTGCCAGGGAAAATGAAGGGAAATACTCAAGTCAGAAAGCTCAGTGCAGGGGAATGTAGCACTGCTTCTTATTACCAATCTGTAAACTGGAAAACAGTGTTTTAAACTGCCTAGTTGATTACACATTTCAAAATCCTCTAGCTTACTATAATTACTAATCACTTCAACTATTAACTGAAACACTAGGTCACTATTCCTATTGCATTTTGCAATTATATAATAAGTACATGCACATCCAAGTGTGGAGGTGCTTTCTACTTAGTAGAGATCTTGCTCAATAAGCCATATTTTGTATGCACTGCTCCCACAGTTGGCCTCTGGCCCTGCAGTCTTACCTGGGCGTCGGGGACGGGATGGCTCCCCCGGGATTTGAAGAAGGTGGAGGAAGGACACTTCCTTCTGTGGGCAGGAAACACTTGAGGTACGTGTCCACCAGGATGAAGTAAGCACTGTTGGAAGGGCTGACGTGGTGGGTGACAGGTGAGTTCTGTAACAGACACACAGGACGTGCAGGGGGTTACACCTGTGGCCTGGCCAGGGCTGAGGAGCGATGCTGCACAGCCAGGAACCTTCAGCAGGGACAAGCACAAGCCCTGAGGTTGTGAAGGGTGAATTGACAGGAAAGACACTTTGGAGTAAAGTGAGGAGCTGTAAGAGAGCTGTTGCTGTGGCAGTGAGTGTAACCAAGCAGGAGAAGAGAGCAGAGTTACACAGCACAGGTAACAACAGGCAGAGGAACCAAATAACCACACACACAGCACCAAGCCATGGTATGACTGTACAGAAGGGGTAGGAAAACCCACTTGGAATCCACTGCCTGCTCCTTTTTGGTTGGAGAAGCTGCTTACTGGTTATTTCTTTATAGGTGGGAATTTTGTTTATTATCTAGTCTTGGATCATCAACTGAACCAAAGCAGTAACGAATTCCAAAAGAGCAGATAAGACTGCTGTTAATTTAGCTACAAGCACCTCAGGAAGCTCTTGCAGCATTGTGAAGAAAGGCTAATACTCTTTTAAGGGAAAAATTGTGACAGGTACTTACCTTCTGTGTAATCAAACTAATTGCAAAGTAAAACATGTAATATTCAAATGGATCTGGAAGAACAGAGTCAAGGATCAAATAATAAAAAACAGGCACAGCTGTTAGATATTGGGGGATGCTAAACAGTCTTTAAGCTTTTATTTTGTCAATACTAAAATACCTTGCTAGAGCTTAACAGCAAATTCAGCTTTGCTTTCTTGCTTTCCAGCTGACTCAGACTTGGGCAGTTGAGGTGTTCTCTGTGTGACAAGGTGTGTTTGCATTACTCTCAGCACATTTGACTATCTCAACCTGAAATCAGCACAGCTACAGCTACAGTGCTTCTGACAAGCCCACTGCTTGCAAAGTGAACATGCCCTTTTCCTACCATATTGCATAAACTGTGAGTAGTTACAAAAACAAAAATTGTGAAATACAGGCTCTACTGAAAACACTGGGAATTTTGTTGTTGACTTGACTGTGGCCAGAAATTTCCCCAACAAGGGTTTATAAGAGGACACATTTATTTTTCATTGTTATCTAAATATTTCTAATCAGCCCAAACTCTTTAGCACAACCATGATTTACTACATACACAGACAATAAATATACAACAGAAACACTCATGATCTCCCAATTTTAGATATTTAAACAGAAGTAAATGTCCAACGGTTAAAAGGATACTAAGAGCCAAATTCAAACCTAAACCACCAGATGAAGGAAACTGGACTTTGTTGTGGTATAAAGAACATTCTGGCAGAACTTGCTCTTGTATTGAAGCCTTCACAGGGCCCTGAAAGACAGAGTAATGAAATATTAATCTGGCTACTCAGCATATTGCAGAGTGTGTTTTCAGATAGTGAGGTTCTACATTCCAGCATTCTAGGATGATCTCAGATTCAGCTCAGTGGGATTTTATTGCATTGCACTAGTTCCTTCTGCAAATGCAAAGTCTTTAGAAAACTCTCAACTTTCTCACTGAAAAGAACATTCAGTATTTTTTTAATTTAAATTCGGTGTGTTTTTTTAAAAACTTCACCATGACTCCTCCAGTTGGAGTGGGAGCAGCAGAGGACTGGTGTTTTGTTCAGGTAACTGAGCTGTGGACCAGCAAATACCATCTACCTAAATGTTGTTTCCTTCTGTGACAGACTGTAGAACTACCTGAATCAACTTCTAGATAGCACGTAGCTTGTAGCCACAGAAGAAACAGAGTGAAACAACTCTGCAGATGAACATCTTTGAAATGTGATAATTCACATTCAGGACGGCAGTGACACTTCAAACCCCTGGGTAAAAGTGTAGCCATGGAAATCACTGCTCTGTGATGGGCTTGGAAAACTATTTTCAGTCCTGCAACTACCAGTAACCACACGACTTTCTCTGGGGACAGGGTAAGAATCACAATGCAGCTTTTTTGGCTGAACAGCACAAACATCCAGCTGCTGACAACCACAATCTCCAACAGAGTTTATGGCTGGGAACTCTCCTCTTCCAGAGGAGGAAAGGAAACAGGTCTACTCTAACTCTGGAGCACTGAGGCGACACCGTGGCCTGTACTGAACCATGGGCATGCAAAGTTCCAACAGCTGCTGCAACAACTACAGACTGTTCAGTTACTCACTGGAAGATAAGAGACTGGGAAATCATATCTGTACTCTTCTGCTTGGAGTTTGTAAACCAGCTTCATCATCGGGCCACTGCAAACAAGCATCAGAGAGAAAATCTGTGGTGAGTACCCTCTCCTGTCTCACTTCTGTGAATTATGGACAGTGGAAAAAGGTCAGAGACTGGCTATTTGTTCACTGATTCATGTTTTCATCTGTGCTGAAATGAATGAGTTTACCTGGGATCCAGGAAATCCAAAGCCACAGAATATTCATTAGGATTTGTTCTTCCTTGCAAACAGCGAAGATTCCAGCCCACAATGATGCCATCCAGGCTACCAAAAATGCTCTCCACCAGCCACGGGAAGATGCCATGCAGTTCCTTTAGGGAAAACAGACACAAAGAGTTAATGTGAACAATCCCTCACAGAGACAATCTCTGCTGCACATACCAGAATGCACAAAGATACTGTCTGCCAGCTATTTGTGACTGTTTCCAGACTGCCACTGGGCAGAGCTTCCATTCAAAACACTGCATTGTAATATCACAATTATGGGAAATCTGTCCTGATTTTGCAGTGATGCTCATCAGCACCACATGCAGTTATTTGTTACATTCTAAAAACTATGTTTTCCTCGTAAACTGAGGCTGAAAGGTATTAATGCAGTCCACTGAAACAATCTTTTAATGGCTAGAAAAGTTTATTAACTTTTGGAAACACTGCATTCCCACTGTTCTCAAAACTCAGAATCACAGAATCAGTGAGGCTGGAAAAGACCTCTGAGATCATGAAGTCCAAGCTGTGACCCAGCACCACCGTGTCAACTAGACCAGGGCACTCAGAGCCACATCCAGTCTTTCCCTGAACACCTTCAGGGATGGTGACTCCCCCACCGCCCTGGGAAGCCCGTTCCTGGAACAGATTCCAGTTCATCTTGGTAAGAGAAACGGGAACAAAGAAAACAGCAATATGACAAAAACAACCCCCCCGGAACCCCGCCGGGCAGGGAGGTCCCGAGAAGGCAGAGGCCGCTCACCTTGGCGGGGAGCTCCTCGATGACGGTCTCCAGGTCGTGGCACCGCTGCGCGAACGGTTTGTTGACACAGTCCGCCTTCAGCGTGGCCTGTCACAAATCACGAGGGAAACCCGATCAGAGCGGACGGCGCTCACCGCGGCCATGGGGTAACACAAACCCAACGCCCCGCCCGCGCCGCTCCTCCGGTACCGTCCCAGCGACACCCGCACCCCTCCGCCCGGCCCGGGCACCGCCCGCCCGCCCCGGCACACGCACCAACAGGAAGCTGGGCTGCTGCAGGTGCGGCCCGGCCATTTTTCCTCCTCCTCCAGTCCCAGGAGGGATCAGGATCGGGACCGGGATGGGGATCGGGATGAGGAGCGGGACAGATCCCTCCTCTCCCCGCGCCGCCTCCCGCGCTCGGCGCCCGCGTGTCCCTTTCGCGTCACGGCGCAGGCGGGTGACGTCACCAGCGGTTGCCATGGTGACGGCTCGGCGTGCTGTCCCCAACATGGCCGCGCCGGGCTCAGCCCCCTCGTGGAGTCACGGGATGTGCTCAGTGGGGAGGAATCCACAAGGATCACCGAGTTCAAGCCCTTGGCCCTGCGCCGGACACCACAGGAATCCCACCATGTCCCTGAGAGCGTTGTCCGAATTCCTCTTGAACTCTATCAGGCTCGGTGCTGTGACAGCTGCCCTGGAGAGCCTGTTCGGTGCCCAACCACGCTCTGGGTGAAAAACCTGTGCCTCATACCCAGCCTAAACCTCCCCCGACTCAGCTTCATACTCTAGTCCTGTCAGTAGTCACCAGGGTGAAGAGATCTGTACCTGCCCCTCCACTGCCCCTCGGGAGGATGTTGAAGACCTCAGTGGTGAAGACTTCCAGTTTAACAGGATTATTTACCAGGGTAAAATGATTCTATATTTACATAAACATTTACAGAATCAAAGTTAAACATAGTACATTATTTCTTGGTATTGACATGTGCTTCCTCTCCGATCTTCTCTTCCCAAACTGGATCTCAAAACTGCATTTTGATTTTAGTGAGTAAGGGAATGCATCAGCCCCAGGGGCAGTGGAGCAGTCCAGTTCTGACTGCTGAAAAGACAAATTAGTTTTCACACAGCCCCATTTGGAATTCTGGCACACAACTGATTGGCTTATCAATTTCCTTTTTTATATTATGTATGAAGTGGTGTTTTTTGTCGTTGTTTGTTTGTTTGTTTTATTTGTTTGTTTATAAATGTGCAGTA